CTGCTTAACAGAAGTCACAGCAGCCTTACAGCACCGTTTGAGCTTTATCATTTCAAGATTTGAACATTCCCCTAAACAAGAAGGGACCTGTTTCAGTTTCCCGCATTGGTGCAAAACCAACTTCTCAAGACGGGAAAAATTATCAGAAGCGGCGGTCCAGCTTCGAAGGCCCAAACTTGACAATTCCAAGAATCGGAGGTTAAGGAACTCCCCTGCTTTCGTTTCCCATTTATCCCCTACAAAGGCTTTATGCCGTAATTTAAGCACTTCAAGATTCGGCAGCTTTCCAATAGTTGAAATTTCGGTCCATGGCATACGAGTACGTGAGAGAGTCAACTTTTTCAAATACAGTGGGAATTTAATTTCCAACGGAGCAAGAGAATCCACTTTAAGTGACTCTAGTCGACACAGACCATCCAGCACGAGAATCCTGTTTCTGGAAGAACTAGATGGCGCGCATTTTAGCTTGCGGATGCTTGGTAACTTTGTCAATATCTTCTGCAAGCTTTGAGAAGAGGAATCAATTGCAAGGCTTAAAGTCTCTAAATGTTTTAAATCCGGGGAGCCGGCAAGACTGTCAGCAGGAAAACGAAAACCACACCGGGAACTTTTAATGCATAGATGCCTCAATGTCTGAATGTTCCAGATAGTGTTCGGTAGCACAACATCATACAAGCTTTCCATCAAGAAGAAAGTTTCTAATCTTGAGAGGTTAGCTATGTCAGATGGCACGGAAAAAATGCGTGAAAGCGCCAAGTATCTCAAGTGAACAAGCAATACTACTTCCATCGGAAATCCACTCTTAAAACTAAAGTTCCCCAACTTAAAACTAAAGTTCCCCAAATCCAAAACTCTAAGAAGTTTAAATAACAGAACCCCAGTTGGAAAATAAGGCACCACTTTCCACTTAGCAAAGAAGAGCAAAGAACGTAGATTGGGAAAAAATACCTTTGAATTTTTAAGATTCTTGGGCTCGGTATTGTAAATACATAGTCGATGAAGGTTATGTGGTCCAGTCAGAGTGAAAAGATTATTTTCCCCATGCAAAATCTGTAGAAAACTTTCTTCTTTGGCTTTTTCCACACAAAACTCATGTATCAAATCATGAATTCGGCAAGCTTTGGCTCCACCTATTGATCTTTGTCGGGTGACCGTAACTAAACTTCGTTGGACTAGATCCATCAAGTACTCATCTACCACATCCTCTGAGCCCTTTCCTTCAGTCTTTTGCAGAAATCCTTCAGCGGTCCAAAGCCAGATCAATTTTTGGACAGGGACGTCTTCATCTTTTGGGAATGCTCCGAAGTAAAGAAGGCATGGCTTCAGATGACTGGGCAAATTGCTGTAACTCAACTCCAGTGCCCTCTTGCATTGGTCAGCCTCAACAATTGTGCTAGAACTTAGAGTTTCTGCAACTTCTTTCCAGCAATCTTGCTCAGTAGTTGCAAGAATTCCAGCAACAAGGACAATTGTGAGAGGTAGTCCCTTACAGTTTTTTGCAATTTGGAATCCAACTTCATTTAGTGTTGGAGTACAACCTTCTTTGCCAAATATCTTATTTTGCAGCAATGCCCAACTCTCTGTGTCAGTAAGTTGGCGAAGATGGTAAGGTTCACTAGCATGTTGCAATGGAAAACTGTGAATTCTGCTGGTTAAGATAATCCTGCTTCCGTTTGCATCATTTGGAAATGATCTTTCCAACAAATTCCATGCCTTAATGTCCCATAAGTCGTCCAAAACTATGAGATACCTATTTCTCAACAAAACCCTCCTTACCTCTTCAGCCAAATCATTTTCATCTTGGTTAAGATATTTGGCTGGACTACCACGATGAATACTGCACAAAATCTGAGCTAACAAATCGTGCTTGCTGTATGCTTGAGAAACAGTACACCAAGCATAAATATGAAAGCGGCGACAATCTGAATTTTTCATACGGTGGTAAACTGTGTTTGCTAATGTTGTCTTACCAAGTCCAGCCATCCCAACAATTGAAATAATATCCAGCTGCCGTGAACCCCCGGTAAGTCTACAGGTGATTGTCTTTATTGCTTCATCAAGACCCACTGGAGCTTCATTCAGTGCTGGGGTTCTGAGTTTTGATGTCGTATCAGCTGAATTGTTGCTAACTCTCAGTGCGTCAGTGCCATGGCTGAGGCTGTCAGAGATTCCAAGGGCCTCAGTCCTCATCAGCTCTATATCTCCAGCAAGGGTATCCAAACATTCAGATTTATCCCCAGATACAATAGAGTTGATGAGTAACTTTGCCTTATACGCCACCTCCATACCACGATCCCAAAGAGGTTGGAGTTTTCTGTTCTGGTTGCGCTGCGTGACAATATTCTCCAAGAAAGATCTTAAGAATATAAGATCCTCTTTCACTCTGTGGATATGATCCTTTGGGAAATGAATTGAATCAGCTTCAGAATTCGATAGTTCCTGGAGACTTTCTAGGAGGAAATCAAAGCAGCCCAACTCATTGGTCCAAGGAAAGCTGAATGATGGTGGTGGATAAATTTGTGCAAGTTCTGCCATAATAAACTTGAGGACTTTGACCAAATGAAAAAGTGCGAGATCTGTTTCCTTGGCCAAACCTTCTATCATTTCAGTTGCTGAAAGGGATAAAATCACAATTCCTGCATCACAGGCCACAAATCCAATAAGTTCCTTCATTTGATCATGTAGCCCGTTGAATTTCTCTTGCGGTTGCCTGAGGAGGATGCTCAGGAACCTTACTCCCTCGTGGAGTATTAGCATTTGATCCTTCACCGCTACCGAGAAACTGGGAAAATATTCTAGTAGCTCCATTACATTATACAGGAGACAATCAATAAAGTTGGCCAACAGATGCTTATTCTTCTCCAGCACTAAAGTGTGTGATGATCTTGATAGCTTTGAAGCTGTCAGGGCCTGGATATAAGTTTCTAGCACTTGGGGATGAACGGGATCAATCTCCTCGCGTATCAGTTGAGATATTTGAGATTCCATTTCATTGCACACTTGTTCACTGTTTCTGTTAAACCAACATATAGAAACCAGGCGTGCAGCTTTGACGGCCACCACTTCAGCGTGGATCAACGGAACGATCAATCCCTTACCCTCATTGCCTTGCACTGTGGCAAAGCAAATGAAACTCTTCAAGAACAATAGCTTCGCTTTAAGGGTTATCATTACAAAACGAAGAGTATTATTAAATGTGCGAAACAAGCAGGTAAGCCAATCCAGATTCCTTAAAACAGAGCCAATCAAATTTGTAACTAGTCGTGGATCTCCCAGTGACCAGTGGTGCAACAAACTGATATTGCACGATGGTCGGATTTCTGTCTCAAAAAATAACCTGATATTTTCCTCAAATCTGCTGAGCTCAGTTTCGATGTCATTAAGATTTGTTGCACCGGGCTGAATATATGTAAAAACAGTAGACTCAGGACCAGGCATGAACGTCCTAACCAGGTCTTGAATCCTGAACAAAATAATACTGAGTCTCAAACTGTCAGACACAGTTTTACCCTTGTCCTCCAGATCTTGTTCCCAATGCATTTCTTGGTACCTCCTGCAATTTGTAGCATACAGATCAAACGGTATCAATAGGGTTAACCCCTTCTCCAGCTTCCCGAATTGACCATGCGCCTTGAGCCCAAACCTCTTCCTAAGCAAGTCCAGATGATCTAAAGTAGAATCAAGGAAACTAGTGAAGCTACTACTGGAGGCTATCTGCATTATGGTGTCTTCTTTTTCACTCTGATATCAGATTTCTGTCTAGTGTAACAATTGATGCTGAATGAACTTAGTTCAAGATCTACAGACTTCTCATGAATAATCAAATATTGCCGACAAGACTCCTTTTCTCTCGCTGTATTTTTTATTGGGGGGGGGGGGGGGGATGGTGCCTATAAAATATTTGCGAGACGCTTTCTTCTTCTGCAGTGGCAAACAATTATCAAGAAAGAAAGTCAACACTACATTCACCTAAATTATTGAGCTTCGGGTAATACGTTTTCCCATTACTTGTCTTGGCAGAGCAACAGCAGATTCCAGATATATTATATTTGATATAGATAGAATTCTTGCTCCAACTCTCCCATGAACTTTTCTTTTATGTTCTTCTTTTTTCTCTTCTCATAATTAGTACTTTGGAACCTGCATCAATTGAACATTGACATGTTTGAGAGGAAGTTTGTGAAAATAGTGAATCAAGAAGCAAGAAGCAATGAACCTGATGTTGTAATATTACAAGATGATTGAATTTTTTGAGCTCTTTGGTGTAACTTTGATCAAAAGGTCTGTCTCTTTTTTGAACCTGCATCTTTAACGGTGCTCTTTTGTTGTTCTCTTCAACTTTTTGCAAATTCACAATCAATGAAATTGCTAGCTGCGTTTCTGTTATCTTTGTGATTTGATCAAGAAATTTCACTTCTCAAATTAGCAATCCAATATACATTTTTCTGCACATTTTGGATCTATTTAAATTGTTTGGTTGCCGTGCTTTATAATTCGTGTGACAAAATTGTCATATAAACAGATAAAGTACTTATTTAATGAGTTAAGAGAATTAAAAATGCAATACGGACGAAGTTGAGAGAAGTTTAGTGCATTTAACCCTTTGATCTATAGATTTTGCCAATCAAAGTAAAAAAAAAAAAAACACACCAACAAATTAAAAGAGAACACTCCTATGAAATCCATACTTTACTACCAGCAGTTCATGTGAAAGTTTGTATAAATTTAAATTTTTATAGTGAGAAGATCAAATTAGTCTGATTCTAAATCAAAAGTGGATGTCAAGTTTTATAGCTACCACAACAGAAGACGAATAAGATAAATCTAAAGATTTGGCCAATCAAGAGCAAAGAAATATGCGAACAATTTCAAGAGAACACTCCTATGAAATAAACTGCCCCACATTCGCATGGCCATAAAAAAAAAATTTTTTTTTGGGGGGGGGTCATGGCTATTAATAAAAAGAAAATTTAATACATTAATTCCCACTCAGACTTCTAATATATTAGTAGAGATTTGCACAGTTATTCATATTGCATGGTGCACCAGACCTAGTGACAGTGTATACTTCATCATGGAGGCCCGCTATGTTTTGAACTTCTTTTCTCGGACAAGCACTGATGGTATATGGAAAATAAGCATCATCTAATCTCTGTGCCTGCAGCTGCGGAGAAAACGCACGGTTTATCCTGAATGATTTGGCAAAGCGTATGTATGTAGGTGGCTCTGCAACATTGAGAAGATTTTTTCAGAAATTTAAATAATGGTAGATTATAAGAACTAATAAATGTCCAAAGAGAAAGAACCTGTGGTGAGGCTTGCCAAATAGAGTAAAATCCAAAAGCAAATCATGAGATCTACTGGTGAGGAGAATCCTGCTTCCATTGGAATCATCTGGTAGTGATCTCTCCAACAACTTCCATGCCTTAATGTCCCAAACATCATCCAAAATTATAAGATACCTATTTCCCTTCAAAAGCTTGTAAAGATTTTCAGCCAAATCATCTTCATTTATCTCAAGGCTCTGGTCAAAAATCTCAAAAACAGGGTTACGCAAAATCTGAAGTAACAAACTTTTCTTGCTATATACTCGGGAGACACAACACCAAGCACGAATATGAAAGTGGGAATCAACTGATCGATGACAGTAAACTGAATTGGCTAACGTTGTCTTACCTAACCCAGGCATACCGACCACGGGAACAATATCCAACTGCATTGTTCCTCTCACAAGTCTATCAATAATAGTTTCCAGCTCATCCTCGAGACCCACCGGATGTTCATAGAATACTGGGGCAGAAACTTGTGATGGCATAGGAACGAAAGGGTTAGTAACACTGTGAGTCTGACCATCATAGATCTCTTCTGCCAGCTCAGTCTTCACAAAATTGATATCTCCAGCAATGACATCCAAACAAGTTTCAAGCTTGTCACCAGCCAGTGTAGAGTCGATTATTACCTCAGCCTTGTACGCAACCTCCATAGCACGACTCCAGAAAGCTTGGAGCCTTTCATTCTGGTTGCGCTTCTCCACAATATTCTCTAGGAAAGATCTTAAGAATAAAAGCTCTTCTTGGACTGTCTGGATTTGATCCATTGGGAAAGCACCTGAACCAGCCTTTGATATTGCTAGTTCCTTGAGATTTTCTAGAAGAAAATCAATAGAGCCCAGCTCATTAGTCCTAGGGAAACTAAGTTGTGATGATTTTAGCGGATAAACTTGTGCAACTTCTTCCATGACAAATTGGAGCTCTTTCAATAAATGTACAAGTGCAAGTTCTGTTTCCTTGGCCAAGCTATCTTTCATTTCATTCACAGAAAGGGAGCAAATCACAATTCCTGCATCAATGATCATAACTCCAATACGATGCTTCATTTCTTCAGGTAGTGCATAGAACTTCTCCTGCTGCACACAGAGAAGGAAACTGATGAATTTTACTCCCTCATGGAGTTTCAGCATTTGGTCCTGCACAGGTACTGTAAAAGTGGAACAGCATTCTGGTAGCTGCCTAAGACCGCATAGGAGAGAATCAACAAATTCCTCCACTAAATACTTGTTCTTCTCAGGAGTAAAAGTGAGTGGTGACCTTGACAGTTTCTTTGAAGCTTTCAAGACACGCACTGAAGTCACACGAAATTGGGGATCAACAAGCTTGATCTTCTGTTGCAGTTGAGAAATTTCAGATTGGATGTCATTGACCACCTCTTTTTCAAAATAAACAGACCAATATAACTTCCTCAGGCATTCAGCATTCACGGCCAGGAATGTACAGTGAGCCAAGAGGTCTAGCAGTTGCATCTGCTCAACACCTTGCACTGTAGCAATGTAAATTAGATTTTTTGATAACATTAGCTTCCATAAAAGGACTTCAGTTAGATGACTCAAATCTCGATCAGGTCTTGCTCTCAACTTAAGGTAATCCCTGAGGCCCTTGACGATGAAATAAGTACTGTTGACTTGATCATCTGGCCGTGGCAATTCCGGTATGTACTGGTTTAACAATCTCAAGCGCAATTTCTGGATATCCATATCGAAAAACCTCTTGTTTTTCTTTAATTTGCTGAGCTTTGAAACTAATTGACAGAATTCCATCAGTTTACCCGGGAAATGATAACTGACCCCGTTCCAAACTCCTGAATGTCCTGCCAAAAAAAGCGGGATAATTTTTATAAAAAATTTCATATTGAAGAATAAGTAAAAACCCCAATCATGATGTTCTTCTTGCATTTTTTTTTCACTTCAAATACAGTATAAACATAATGATTTCCATAAAATGATATAGCACAAACCATCAAATTACGTGAACAGAAGAAGAAATGCAGCTACTTGAGAAGGTCAACGAGGGACACCTTTCGATGAATGATCAAAAGAAACGCTTTCGTTTAAGTAATGAATATTAGTTATCCAAGACAAAACAAGTTTTTCTTTTCTTTTCATTTCCTCTTGAATTTACTATACCTGTTGTCGACGAGCAATCTTCTATGGACTTTGATGGTTGAGACTGACTGTTTGTCTAGGTACTAATTTGATGGTACAGACTGACTGTTTGCTTGGGTTCTACTGGCCACGATTAGTTCGTCAGACATGTCACCTGAAACATGGATTCGACTCGAGTCATCAATGGCATAGTGCAGAATCACTCTTGATTTTCTCTGCATCCTGCAAGTCTTATTGCTTGATCATTTGGAAATTTTTGATGATCGAGTACAGAATACTTTCCTTCCTCAATACTTGTGACAATCCATTGGATTAGTTTATGATCTTTTTCTTTCTTTTTTATTCCTTCTTTTTCTATATGTTCGTACAAATACACAAAAATTTCCTCGTTACCTACCTCTTCTTGAACTAACTTTTTATCACAAAATTGAAATTGTTTTGAAAATATTGTTGAAGGTGCGAAAGGAGTCGCTAGAAAAAATGCCTGTAGCACGAGATAATTGTTTTTTCTTTGAATTAATTGCCTACTTGGATTTTATACATTGCACTAAAGAATTATTACAAAAAGAACTTTCTGCTGCTATTTTCTCGTCTTTAACATTTATATTCTAACTAATTAGACTCTTCAGCAGCACAATTTCTTGCCAGTTTCCAATTATTCACTAACGGATTGGGGACATGACCAATCCCTGAAAGGGATTTGTTGAAAGAAAATAATAGTAGCAATCATTTAAAAATAGGCAACTTACAATTGCAGCTAACTTCTTGTTTATTTAACAATTTTTTGACATCCAAGACGACCAGACTTGTTAATTGATAAGGTCAACAATGGCTAGTTGATGGAGACTGGATATGCAGTTGATTACAAGCAATCAAATTGTGTTAGCATATTTATTTTAGTGAAATTCATGACCATATGATATTCTATATAGTTTCTCTCAGCAATTATAGAACAAATTATTGCTAGGAAAAGTAATATATTAAGAGTTTTGAGAGAGGGTTGGGTTGGGTGATAAGGTAGAAGGGATCGTAAGTAGAAGATCCTACGTTTAACATCTCCCACTTTTTGAAAAAAAAAAATACAAAGATTTTCTCCCTTCTCTTTTACAATCTTCTATGTTCCATCCATCGGTCTTACCTTCTTTTCTGTTGCCCTGTTTGTTTTAAATTTTAAATTTTTAGTTCAATCAATAAAATTCAGCATTAATCTTCAAATCTTATTGCTTAAATATTGGGCGATCTATTATGATTATTACAAAATTCATTTTTTAAAGGTATTTTTTGATAATCTATTGAACGAGTGTATGTTCTTTTCCTTTCTATGTTTCTCTAATACAGCAAACCTTCTTGTCCTTGTCAAGTATTATTGATAGGAAAATAAAGCCAATGGGGCCAACAATGTTACATAAAACAAAGGGCAAAAAATTTCAGTGCCATTAAACTTTGGCTCGTATCAACTTTTGACCATCAAATAATTTTTCATCATAAATTGATCATTAAATTATCTAATCAGTACAACTGTGGCCGTTTCATAAACTTTGGCTCTTAATTTACAAAATAATTAGAATGCTTATGGGTATTTTTGTCCACTACTAAGTGTTAATTATATTGGATGAATTCCGAAGTTGGTGAAAATACCACATACACTGATCTTGAAGAATTGCAAGAGATAGGATCTGATACATTTAGTAGTGGAGTTGTTTCGTTGGAACTTAACGGAACAGTGTATAGGGTCAAGTTAGTGGTGGACAAAATAGCACTGGGTATTCTGATTATTTTTTAGATTAAGAGCCAATATCTACGAAATAGCCACGGTTGCTAATTAGTTAGTTTAGTGGCTAATTTATGACGAAAAATTGTTTGATGGTCAAAAATTGATGCGAGCAATAGTTTAATAGTTCCCTAAGGTTTTTTGCCCTAAAACAAATCACATGTGGCACTAGATAATCCTTCATTTGTTGTATTAAACGCCTACTTGGTTTTCGTATATTACATAATTGAATTAATTCTTGAAAACTTCACATTACAAAATTGTAAGGCAGCCTTTTCTTTTTCCTTATTAATTTTGCTAAAGACTAGTAATGATTTAGCTCTTACTGGCTCATGTGGAGGCAGCACCATATTAAACATAGCTCAGTGTTGGATAGTCACAAATATCCTCCAAACACAGAAAGGCCGTCCCCCCCCGGGGGGGGGGGGGGGGGTTGGGAATAAAAAAGAAAAAAAGAATCCAAGACTTCAGTGATTTCTGGTTTGCTTCCAATGCCAAGTTCTAAATTGCTAGCTAGATCAAAGATAAAAACCAAGAAGAAGCCCAAAAAAAAAATGCAGAATTTTAAAATCTAAAGCTACACAATTAATTAAGGCGTCAAAAAAAGTATTACATATTATTGAACTCGAAATTTTTTTCACTAAATAAGTTTTCTGCATTTAACAGATCACAATAATAAAGGTGACAATTTTCCAAGCTCAAAATTGAGCATCCCAGTAAGCATGGCAGACAACCATAGAAATTGTGAACAAAGATGAAAGTGACAATTTTTTGGACCAAGGGCACGAACAGTTGTTAGCAACAACCAATCTAACATTTTTTGAACAAGATGTAAACTTACGTGAATTACTTGTAAAATTTAACAACAGAAACACAATTATTATATATATGATCTATATGAACAGTAACAAAATATCGCACCAGTGTTGTAAGGATGTACATAGAGTTACATTGTTCAGGGACAGTTAATAGATCAATAGTCCCTATCCTGCTTCCCAATTTTCCAAGCTCAAAATTGAGCATCCCAGTTAGCATTGTAGATAACCATTGAAATTGTGAACAAAGATGATAATATAGAACACAAGGAACAAGGTTCACACTTAATATCAAACGGTTGCAATAATTGGAAAAGAGCAGGAATACGTAAATACAGATCAAAATGGGTGTGGTTGTTGATCAATAGCACATGAATGACTCGATGAACAAATTAAAGAGCTCTTTGGGAAAAAGAATACATTTTCCTTAAGAGACAACTTTGATACGTCTACTTGGTTTCTAAACTTTAGATGATTGTATTAATGTCTTAAAACTTCCCATTACGAAATTGTAAATGGTACGTTCTTTCCACGTAGAAATATAAGGTGAGACGATCAGAAATAAAGTTATGGCTGCATCAAATTCAAACTAAAGAATTCAGAGGCTACAGAAATTACTTCTATAAACTGATTGAACATATACAAATAGCACTCTGGAAGTAAAACCAACCTAGTGAGTGAGTGGAATCCCACTCTGCATTGCTCTCTTCCAAATCTATGACAGACATGAATGGTTCTACATTCTAAGATGTGATGAGAGGAAATCCACTCACCTTATGATCTTAGCACTCAATCAACCGTGGCTCCGATAACAATCTTTAGATCCTGGCTTCCAGTACTCACCTGTTCTTGTTGAATTTGCTTTACAGAACTCACAGCAGACTCACAACCCCCTCTCAGCTCAATCAATTCTAGATTCTCACATTTCCCTAAAGAAGAAGGGACCTCTTGCAGCTTCGCACATTCGTACAAAACCAATTTCTCAAGACGGAGAAAACTATAAGAAGGGGCAATCCACAAGCAAATGTCCAACCGTGAGAATTTCAAGAATCTAAGGTTAGGGAACTCCCCTTCTTCCATTTCCCATTTTTCACCCACAAAGGAATTACACTCTAATTTAAGCACTTTAAGATTGGGCAGCTCTCCAATTGCTGACATTTTACTCCAGGGCTGATGGTTAAATGAAAGAGTCAACTTTTTCAAGTTGAATGGGTATTCGAACTCATATCCAACAAACCTTTGCAGCTTAAGTGATTGTAGACTGCTCAATTTGTCCAGCGTGAGAATCCTATTGCAATTTCCAGGGGATTTTGCCTCTGATCTGACAGACACGCATTTTAACCTGCGGATGCTTGGTAACTTCGTTAATATATCTTGCAAGCTTTGAGAAAAGGGATCAACTGCAAGGCTTAAAGTGTTTAAATGATCAAGATCGGTGGATACTTCAACATTGTCAATGGGTAAACAAAAACCACACCACATCGAGGACTTTGTTGTCCATAGATGCCTCAATGTCTTGATGTTCCAGATAGTATTTGGCAACACAACTGCATTGATAGGGTATAATTTGTTAGTATTTTTATTATTAATTTTCCCTTCTATCCCTGACAAATATTGTGCTAATTGCTGATATTTACTCATATTTGATATTTGGAATCAATTTCAGGAATGAAGCAGAAAATTACCAAAAAGGAGGGACTTGCTCCATAAGTGAGAGACTTAAAGAAGAAAGTCCCGTGGACTTGGCCCACAAGAGGAGACGGATTGCCGTGGTCTTTGCTCCTGGCTGACTAGTAGCCGCGGACCAAGAGTCCTAAAACATCAACGGAGCTTTCTTCTTGTATTTCTTTTAGCTTCCCAATTTCGGTGGGGACCACGAGAGGAGAAAAGGCTTTTTCTTCATTTGGCCTTTAAGAGAAGTAACGCACAGAGATGGGAAACAAGAAGCAATTCGGCAGGACCCACCTTGTGATTTGGTTTTCTCTCAATTCGGAAGAGTTTCCTTCTTGGACTTTGACTCTCAGTTCGGCGGGATCCACGCACTAGGAGAGGCATTAGTCCTCTTTGGCTTTAAAAACAAGTACACGGATGGAGATCAGGGGATGAATACTTTTTATCTTTAGTTCTTATCGAAGCTTTAGGATAGTTTTTAGTTTTAGTTTTTCTTTCTTGGCTCTTTTGCTGGCCTGGACCTCAGTGGAATTACTTGAAGATTTTCTCATGAGGCGTGGCTAAATTTGTCTAGTCAAGAACAACGGAGGATTTGGTTCTACTAAATTTGTGAGATCGAATTAGTTTTTATTTATTCCCATTATTCACTGGTATTTGTCTGTCTTTTGCTTTATGTTCGTATGGTTGTTTTATTATTCGATTATCTAGGGCCCGGATTCTAGATTAATTCAATAACTTGAAGCCAATTAGGGTAGTTAAATCCGTAATTGTTTAATTATTCTAAACTGGTGGCAACTGGCATGATTGGGTTTGTGTCAGGGAGGTAGGCAGGCTAACTTAAAGAGACCCTCGTAGCGTGTTGATTGGTTGGAATTAGGCTCTTCTAATTATTCATGCAATTAGGGAATTGAACTTCTATGGTCGTACCTAGGGTTATTTCCTGATTAGAGAAATAGTCAACGGTTGTACCTTGGCTATCGACAAATTGAGGAAGAGTTAGTTGTTTATCGCGTGTATAACAACTATAACTAATTTATCAGATAGTAACTGGAATAATCCTTGCATCTGTGATCGAATTAAGTGAACCATCTCCGAAGTTGTCTCTTGGCTAGAGTTCGTCCATTATTATTTTTATTGTGATAATTAGTTATTTGAGTTGTAGTTATTTTATTTTAATTAATTTATTCCAAGTAATTTAGTTACTATCATTTTCAAAACCCCCCATATCTGGAACTTGAGAAGAAATTAAATTATCCCCAGTTCCTGTGGATTCGACCCTACTTACCGCTATATACAGAATTTGTATTTTATTTAAGCAGGTATTTATTATTGCACAGGTTTGACGCCTGTCATGCATCAAAGTTTCCTTCTACCAGAAAAGTTTCCAGCCTTGAGAGGTTGTCTATTGCAGATGGGATGTCCTTCATGTGTCCGTGAATCGCCAAGAATCTCAAATGAGCAAGGAATACTACTTCCATTGGAAAACTTGTACCAAAATCAAAGTCCCCCAGATCCAACACTCTAAGAAGTTTTAGTACTGGAAACCCAGGGGAACCATCACGCAGCTTTATAACCTTCCAGCTAAAGTTCCAATGGTAATAACTAAAGACGAACAAGCAGCGCAAATTGGGAAAATACAGCCTCATCTTCTCAAGCTCCTCTTCCTTGATCAAGTAAATACACAGTCGATGGGGGCATGGCCCTGTAAAAGTAGAAATGTCACTATCCCCGTGTAAAATCTGTAGAAAACTTTCATGTTTAGCTTTTGCCAAACAAAACTCATGTACCAAATCATGAATTTGACACGTTTTTGCACCACCTGTAGTTCTTTGTTTGGTAACCGTAACTAAACTTCTACTAACCAAATCCATCAAGTAGTCTTCTGCCATGTCGTCTAAGCTCTTCCCTTCTGTCTTTTGGACAAATCCTTCAGAGATCCAAAGCCATAACAACCTTCGAACAGGAATATCTTGGTCTTCTCGAAATGCACCAAAATAAAGAAGGCATGGCTTCAAATATTCAGGTAGATGACTGTAACTCAGCTCCAATGGTTCAGTCTTCACAGGAGTGCTGGAACTAAGGCTGTCTGCAAATTCTTGCCAGCAATATTGCTCTATTCTTGAAAGAATTCCAGCAAAAATGACTATTGTGTGAGGTAACCCCTTGCACTTACTTGCTATTTGAATTAAAACTTTGGTTAGTGTGGAAGGACAATTTTTTTTGCCAAATATCTTCCTCTGAAGCAGTGCAAAACACTCTTCGCCAGTAAGTTGGCGGAGATGGTAAGGCTTGCTATCAGGCTTAAATTGCAAAGACAAATTCTGAAACCTGCTAGTAAAGAGAATCCTGCTTCCATTGGAATCATCTGGTAGTGAATCTTTCAACAAATTCCATGCTTCAATGTCCCACACATCATCCAAAACAATGAGATACATGTTTCTCGACAAAACCTTCTTTAACTCTGCAGCCAAATCATCTTCATCCATCCTCAGATATTTGTCAGGGCTCACCTTCACAGAGTGGTCAGCAAAACTATAAACCACACTACATAAAATCTGAACTAACAAATTGTGCCTGCTATATACTTGAGAAACAGTACAACAAGCACGAATATGAAAGTGGTTTAAAATTGAAGGATGGTGGTAAACTGTGTTGGCTAATGTTGTTTTACCAAGTCCAGCCATACCCACAATTGAAACAATATCCCGCTTCTTTAAACCCTTAGTAAGTCTATTTGTAATTGTCTTTACCTCTTCATCAAGACCCACCAGAACTTCATCCAGTGCTGGGGTACTGAGTTGTGATTCCAAGTGAATAGATTTCTTGGTAACTCTCTGTGCTTCATTGTCACTCCTGATGCTGTCAGAGAGTTTAAGGGCCTCAGTCTTCACATGCTTGATATCTCCTGCAACGGTATCCAAACATTCAAGTTTATCCCCAAGCACAACAGAATCAATGATTAACTCTGTCTTGTAGGCCACCTCCATAGCACGATCCCAAAGAGCCTGAAGTTTTCCATTCTGGCTGCGCAGCTTCACAATTTTCCATAGGAAAGATCTTAAAAATATAAGATCTTCTTGAACTCTTTGGATTTGATCCTTTGGAAAAGCAATTGAACCAGTGTCAGAAGTTGCTAGTTCCTTGAGATTTTCTAAGAAGAAATCAATGGAGCCCAACTCGTTGGTCCTAGGGAAACTAAGTGATGATGAAGTTGGCGGATAAGTTTGTGCAACTTCTTCCATCACAAATTGAAGGTCTTTCAACAAATGAAGAAGTGCGAGATCTGTTTCCTTTGCTAAGCTATATTTTGTTTTACTCACAGAAAGTGAGCAAATAACAATTCCTGCATCAATGATCATATCTCCAATTCGATCCTTCATTCCATCAGATAGCGCATAGAACTTCTCCTGCTTCACATGGAGAAGAATACTCAGGAATTTTACTCCCTCATGAAGTTTCTGCATCTGATCGTGCATGGAAACTGTAAACATGGCATGACATTCTAGTATCTGCCTAAAAGCACCAAGGAGAGAATCAACAAATTCCTCCGCTATATACTTATTCTTCTCTGGAGCAAAAGTGAGTGGTGACCTTGATAGCACTTTTGAAGCTTTCAGCAGGGCTTTCAGGACGCGTACAGATGTTACATGAAATTGGAAATCAACAAGCTTAATCTTGCATTGCAGGTGACAAATTTCAAGTTGGATGTCCTTGAACACCTCTCCTTTGAAACAAACAGACCAATATACTTTTCTCAGGCATTCAGCATTCACGGCCAGAAATGTATAGTGAGCCAACAGATCTATCAATTGCATCTTGTCAACACCTTGCATTGCAGCAAAGAAAAAGAGAGCTCTTGACAACTTCAACTTCAGTAGAAGGTCTTCGGTTAAGTGACTCATATCTTGATCAAGTCTTTGTCTCAACTTAAGGTAATCACTGAAGCCCTTGACGATGAAATAAGTACTGTAATCTTCATCATCTAGAAATGGCAATTCCAGCCAGTATTGGTGTATCAATCTCATGCGCAATTTCTCAACATCCATGTCAAAAAACCACTTATGTTTCTGCAATTTGCTGAGCTTTGAAACTAATTGACCGAAATCCATAATTTATCCAAGGATATATGATATAGACCTTGTTCCAATATCCTGAATATCCTGCAAAACAATCAGGATAATTTTCAAAGGATTTCACATCAACTTTTGTCTTTTTGTTGTTAAAGAATTTCCTGTCAGCTTAATCTAATTAAAATAAATTGAAGCATAAGTAAAAGAGAATCGCAATGTTCTCTTCTTTATTATAAACCAAAAATACTCCTTTCAACCTCTTCTCCCCCAACCCAAAAAATTTTCCTTCAAATACAGTACAAATTCGATAATTTCAGTAAAATGATATATGACAAACTACAAAATTTCTTACACAGCAGAAGAAATGCAGCAAATTGAGAAGCTCAACAAGTGTTTTGTCTTGTGTCGATGAATGATAAAAAGAGCCACTTTAATTTAAGTAAAGAATATTAGTTATTTGAGACAAAAGAATTGTTTCTTTCCTCTTTCTCTTGAATTTTTGATATACCTGTTGTTCACAAGCAATATTTGATGGGCTTTAATGGAAAGAGACTGACTGCAGAAGCTCCAGTGGACAGCAAAAGCATCACCAAGTCAGACTAGAATCCAGCAAATTGATTGAATCAAATCAGAACTTTTGAGGGACTAAATATTTCAGAAAAATGCTACAGAAAACGAATAACTGCTACAAGCAAGTCTCCATTTTCTTGCCGAAAGATACAGCTAGTGGCAAGCCTGGACGGTTGTCATACTAAACGCTGTGTTGGACTTTGCCGGATTTTTGGGTCAGAATTCTGTCGAGTGTTGACAACTGACAAGAAAGCAACTGCTGAAATATTAAATCTAGGACCAGTTAGATGCATCCACCAGTTATTTCCTCGTTGGCCAGGTAAGTTGGACTAGGCTACTTGCCTGTTTAGGAATGAGTTTTTCTCCTTCTCTTTGCTGTTTTCTGTTTTCCTTCATCTCCATCATGCCCAGTTTGCCTGTGGCTCTGATTTTTCGAGTTCTTTAATAGTTAAATGTATAGCCATCATCTCGTTCTGAAATATTATTGACAATCTACTGGATTAATTTATGTTTTCTCATTCAAAAATTTCCTACAAGAAAATTTAACCCCGCCTCTTCTTTGTTGAACTAACTTCGAATTCGACTACAAAATTGAAAATGTATTGAAAACATAGACAACGGTATATCAGAAATCGCACAGAAAAAAATGCATGTAGCATGAGATAATTCTCAATCTGTTGAATTAATTGCGTACATGGTTCTTATACTGAACAATTTACAAGATAGAACAACTACATAAGAAAACTTTGCACTGCAAATTCCTGGAATAGGTTCCTATTTCAAGATTTCTATGCAGCCTTAGCAGTATTTTCTGCAAACAGTTTTCTATCTTTTAACACTTGACTGTAACTTAGCCCTTTCAACCAGACAATTGGATCTCGCTTGCTCGGTTAAATTATCTATTCTTGCCACGTTAAAAGATAAGGTCTGATGGTTAGACAATTTGTTGCCGATTTCCAAGATGTTGTGAATGGATCGGGACCAGATCAATCCCTTAAGGGGGATTTGTTTAGGCTGTGAATGGATTGGAACCTAGGCCCGGATACAGCCATTTTTCCGGATCCGACATCCAATTACCCGGATTCAATTAAGCCATTTCCATAAATGGCTAGGATATGGATTTTTATGAGCTTCAGCCCATTCTATAGGCACATCTGAATAACATAAATATCTATATAAATAAATAATATATATATATATTCATTACAAGTTACAACTAATACATACACTATCTCCCTAAAATAAGAAAGTCGTAATATTCAACCAATGGTTGAATCTTTTTTTTTTTCATTAATATTTTACTAATAAAAATTGTCGGATTTAAAAGATTAGAAATACTAAAAATGCTTCATATTGAATCAATTTCTGCGAATCAAATATTCGACCCAGATATGTAGTAGCATCAATTTGGTCAGATTCGACCTGTTGATAGGCCTAATTTTGTTGAAAATGATGTCGGTAGCCTCAAACATTTAAAAATTAGGCAACTTGGAATTTTAGCTAAACCTTTTTAATTCATTTAAAAGGTCAACAATACCTAGATGATGGAGACTGCACTTATATTTGAAAATGAGCATGCAAATTGTTTTGTAATATTTATTTTAGTGAAATTCATGAGCATTTGATATACTAAATAATGACCACCTTTTCTCAGTCATTAGAAGACACATTATTGCATAAGAAAAGTTATTACATAATACATCGGTTTAGGGTTCTTCAAGACTTTAACTTTAATGCACTAATTGCAGATGCAACACGTTATTAATTTCCACGTTGCCCAAGTAAATTTTCACTGTTTTGTTTTCCTTTGATCAGCTTTAACCTTTCTTTTTTATTGCCCTGTTTTTTGTCGATAATTCTGAATTTTAAGTCGAATCATTAAATTTCAGCCTCGAATCCAAATCTTATTGCTTAAAGCTTTTACCATGGGACTAGCTTTTCTAGCTTCATATTTCCTTTTCTTTTTTGGTTAAACAAAGGTTTTTCGTTGCTATCCAGTTCATTTCGGGACCTAATTAAGCTTTGTTTGGATATTAGTTTGTTAGTCAAAATACAGTTTCAAAAATTAATTAAAAGGTTAAATGAGATTAAGAACTGAAGAAGAAGCCAGGTTCCTTTGTGGTTCTTTAATCTTAAGGTTAAATCAGATACATGATGATATTGGGAGATGCTGATTAGGGTCAGAAAGTTGTTGATTTGGGAGATGCAAGAGGGATCTTTAGTGACTTCTCATTTTGCATGGTGGGATCGCAAATCCATCCATGTAATTCAATTAAAAACAACAGTTTGCTAGAATTTTGTCATTTTAATTCTAAATGGTAATTCATCAGGGAAAGATATCCACTATATAATAAATGTGCACAAGAATAGATTAATATCCCTAGTTTTTAAAAGAATAGAGACTTTTTTTTAGTGTGCACAAGAGCATGGTTAGCTTTAAAAGCCCAATTAATATCCCTAGTTTGACATAATACAGTATCCATGTCCAAATTTGTTGAAATTTTTACCTATCCCCAAAATAATTAAATTGGAACTTTTGTATTTAGGCTTGTATCTTGGGGATAATTAGTTATTCTTGATTTTTTTGGGGGGGGGGGGTAATTTCTACTTTCTACACAGCATTAATGAGAAAGTTTTGATTTTTGTGTCTCATTTTGTTTCTTGGAATTTAAGTAAAGGTTTTTCGTTTTCTAGCATTTGACGGTATTAATGTGATGAATCTAACAAGTGGCAATGTGGCAGTGCACTCTGAAGTATGTGTTCAATTCGGTCCCTCTCGGTCTTCTTAACTTTGCTGATTGCCTGAATTTTGGCTTATTGCTTAAACAGCTGTGTTTTTCTGGTTCAATTCAAAGTTTCTGCTTTTGATATTTTATTTTATTACTTTGTTTTGGATATTTGCATGCAGAGGACACACTTTGGACGGGGGCATTCCTGGGGATTACATTGAGCCAGATGCTGCAGAAGTGCTAACTGAGGTCAGGAAACTTGTTAATGAAGGCCAATATGCAGAAGCTACTACGTACTTTAGATCTCACGGGACATACATATTTATTTACTGAAGAAATTTTAGTGTGGCCTCAAGTCCCTGTTGCAGTTTTAACAGTTCAATATGTTTTCAACATGGAAGGAGATCTTTGGCACTCTATAGCAGACTGGAATCAGTACACCTTTAATGCACCAGCTTGTTGATTCACTGTTCGAATATTTAGCACTTTAATGTCATGCTCAAGCTGGGGAATTATATTCCAATCTATGGTTTACATTAGTCTTAATGACAAAAAAGAAAAGGGGAAAGAGTGGTCAGGAAGGGGAAAGTAGAGAACTTTACTATCAGCTGGGTACTGAACTTCTGTTGCCATCCATTTTAGGACAGCATTCATTTTAGGTATGTCATAGATGCTGCTTAGAGTTCTGTTTAGATGTATGGCTGAGTGGTATTGAAGAGTATTGCAGCTATGATTACAAACATATCAAATATTCAATGACAAGAACATTAGGCACAGAGTAGGATAGATAATGTTGGACTAATCAGTTCTTGACTATTCTTGCCACTGCAATCATGAAATTGTAGAATCAAATTCATCAAGGCATTGGAAACTTAAAAAGTTGCTTTTAAGAAACATAAATAGTTTTACATATGAATTTGATTCAACAGATACAAATAGTAACGTAGTAGCATAACAAACCTAAAGAGTGGAATCCCAATCTGTTTTCTCTCTTTCAAATCTACCAATGCTGAAAAGACATGAATGATTCACCGCTTCAACATGCAACTGGGATGGAATTGATTCTCCCAAAGATCTAAGCACTCAAGAAAATGTTCAAATCTTGAAATTTTCTTGAATAAATATCTTTAGACACTCATTTCCCATATCCATCTGTTGTTCTTGAATTTGCTTAACCAAGCTTGCGGTAGACTTGTGACACCATTTGACCTCAATCACTTCAATAGTTGGAATATCCCCTAAACAAGAAGGGACATCTTCCAGCTTAGCGCAACCTTCCAAAACCAGTTTCTGAAGAGGGGGGAAATCATCACAAGAGGCTGTCCACCTGACAATGTCCAAGTATGCCAACTTCAAGAATCTGAGCTTAGGAAATGTCCCTTCTCCCATTTCCCATGTTTCCCCCACAAAGGCTCCACTTAATTTGAGCACTTCAAGATTCGGCAGCTCTGCAATTGCTGATATTTTATTCCATGGCAGTTTATTTTGTTCAAACCTTGTATGCAACCCCGGCGCATTAAGGAGTGAGAGTGTTAGTTTTCGTAGGTTTAGGGGGAATGCAAACTCAACTCTCTGAAAGCTAACCACTTTGAGTGATTCTAGTTGACTCAAAAAATCGAGCTTGATAATCCTGTCAAAACTCTCAGCAGAGTATCTTCTGCCCCCCACGCATTTTAGCCTGCGGATGCTTGGTAACTTTGTCAGTATCTTTTGGAAGATTTGAGGTGAGGGATCGACAGCAAGAGTAAAGGTTTCAAAATGATATATATCTTGGGAGACTTCAAGATCGTCAGATGAAAGACTAAAAGCAACTGGAGAAAGAATACCTTCCACGTACAGGTGCCTCAATTTCTTCATGCTTCGAATAGTATCAGGCAATCCAACATTTCCATCATATACTTTGATGATAAAAGTTTCTAACCTTGAGAGATTGGCTATTGATGATGGGATGGAATTTATATAACACTGAATGGTCAAGTATCTCAGATGAACAAGCAATACTACTTCCCTTGGAAAATAACTGCCAAGACAGAGTTTTCCCAAATCCAGCACTCTAAGAAGTTTAAACATCTTAAAACGGAATGAGTAAACACCATACAGTACAAACTTCCAATGATGATTGGAAAACCAGATCAAGGAGCGTAAATTGGGAAAAAATAGTCTCGAATCCTTCAATTCCTCTTCTGTAGCAGTGTATATAAAAAAACGATCTGTGTTGTATGATCCATTATAAGTAGAAAGCTCAGTATACCCAGGCAAAATCTGTAGAAATCTTTCTTCTTTGGCTTTTTCCACGCAAAACTCATGCACCAAATCATGAATTCGGCAAGCTTTGATCCCCCCTACAGATCTTTGTAGCGTAACCATAACTAAACTTCTAGTAATCAGATCCGTCAAGTAGCCATCTGCCACATCCTCTAAGTCACTTGGCTCAGTCTTCCGCACAAATCCTTCTGAGATCCATAACAACTTTAACTTTCTAACAGGAATGTCTTGGTCTTCCTGGAATGCACCAAGGTAGAGGAGGCATGGTTTCAAATAATCGGGCAAATGATTGTAACTCAGCTCCAGTGTCTTCATGCAGTGCTCGGTCTCAATAACTGAGCGAGAGCTCAGACTAGTTGCAACTTCTTCCCAGCAGTCTTCCTCAACATTTGAAAGAATTCCAGCAACAAGAATAACTGTGAGAGGTAGGCCCCTACAATTTTTTGCTATTTGCTTTCCAACTACTCTTAATGCTGGAGGACAAACTTCTTTGTCAAATATCTTTGTCTGCAGCAATGCCCAACTCTCTTCATCCGTAAGTTGCCGAAGATGGTGAGGCGTGCAATCTTCTTTGAATTGTGAAGACAAATTATGAAATCTACTGGTGAAAAGAATCCTGCTTCCATTGGCATCATCTGGCAATGATGGTTTCGACAAGTTCCATGGTTCAATGTCCCACACATCGTCCAAAATGATGAGATACCTGTTCCCCTTCAAACACTTGTAGAGCTTTTCTGCCAAATCATCTTCATTCATATTAAGATATTGGTCACACCTCCCAGAAGCTATACAACCAAGAATTTGAACCAACAAATTGTGCTTGCTATATACTTGAGAAACAATACACCAAGCACAAATATGAAAGTGGCCTAAAACTAAAGAATCACTGAAAACTTTGCTGGCTACTGCTGTCTTGCCAAGTCCAGGCATGCCCACAATCGAAACAATATCCAACAGCTTTGAACCCCTGGTAATTTTATCCATCATTGTTTTTACCTCATCATCAAGACCCACCAGAACATCATTCAATCCTAGGGTGTTGTGTTGTGATTTAATGCAAATAAAATTCTTCGTGACCCTCTGAGCTTCAATATCATGCCTTATGCTGTCATAGATTTCAAGAGCCTCAGTCTTCACAAGTTTGATATCTCCAGCAATAGTATCCAAACATTCAGGTTTATCCCCCACCACAACAGAGTCTATCACTAACTCTGCCTTATATGCAACCCCCATCACATGATTCCAAACATCTTGTAGTTTTTCATTTTGGTTGCGCTGCTCCACAACATTTTGTAGAAAAGATCTTAAGAATATTAGATCTTCTTGAACTGTGAGGATTTGATCCTTTGGAAGAGTAACTAAATCATGCTCAGAACATGCTAGTTCCTCAAGATTTTCTAGTAGGAAATCAATGGAGCCCAACTCATTGCTCCTTGGAAACCTAAATGGTGATGGTGACGTAACTGGATAAATTTGTGTAACTTCTCCCATAATAAACTCAAGCACTTTCAGCAAATGAAACAGCTCAAGATCTGTTTCCTTGGCCAAGCTTATTTTCATTTCATTCACAGAGAGTGAGAAAATCACGATTCCTGCATCACAGACCACAATTCTGATAAGATCCTTCAGTTCGTCATGTAGCTCATTGAACCTCTCTTGCTGCTGGCTAAGAAGGATGCTCAGGAATCTCACTCCCTGATGGAATTTTAGCATTTGATCCTTCACTGGAACCAGAAAACTATTATGTGATATTAGGTCCATAATGTAATCTAGGAGACAGACAATAAATTTAGCCACCAGATTCTTGTTCTCCTCAAGAGCTAAATTGTGTGATGATCTTGACAACTTTGAAGCAGTTAGGACATGGATATAAGTTTCTTTGACTTGGGGATCAACCGGATCAATCTTCTCGCGCAGCAGTTGAGAAATTTCAAATTGCATTTCATTGCAAACCTCTTCATCATCTCTCTCAAACCAAGATATAAAAATCAGGCGAGCAGCTTTGATAGCCACAACTTCAATGTGAATCAGCAGATCAATCAATTGCTCACCCTGAACGCCCTGCAGTATGACAAAGCAAATGAAACTCTTCAAGAACATTAGTTTCTCTTTAAGGGTATGTATTAGATAATGAAAAGCTTCACCAAATTCATGATCTCTGTAGAGAAGATACTCCAGATTCTCAGAGAGGGAATCAATGAAATCCGTAACTAGTCGTGCATCTCCCAGTGAGTAATGGCCCAACAAAATATTGGTCCATGATTCATTGATATCTTTCTCAAACAACAATTCGATATCTTCTCGGAATCCAATGAGCTCACCTTCAATGCCACTAAAATCTGATGCACCAGATTGCATATCTCTAAGATAAGCAGAGTGAAGATCGTGCTGTATCCTGGTAACCAGATCTTGCATTGTGAACAAAATAATGCTACGTCTCACTCTGTCAGACTTAGTATTAGCCTTCTCCTCCTGACCATGTTCCAAAACCATTCCATGATTCCTCCTCCTGCAATTTCTCATATACAGATCAAAAGTTTTCAATAATCCAACCTCCATCATCAGGTTCCTGATATCAGAAGAAAAATACTTGCTGAACGGATAGTCACACCATTCCAGATAATCCAAGGCAAGATCAAAGTAACTCGTAGTACTAATGAAGGGCATCTCCATTTTACTACTACTTTTCAATCTGATATCAGATTGCTATCTCTCTAGCTATTGAAAGACTTAGTTCCAGATCTATAACTTTCTCACAAGTCATAATTTAAAGCAGTCAAACACCAATAGTCAAATATTGCTGCCAAGACCTTCTCTTTTCTTTTCTTTTCTTTATCTATTCACCATTTTTTTCAAAATTTGGGAAGGGAACTTGGGTGACATTATTGTCAAGTCAACAAACACCAATTTCACTCTCCCTGTCTAGCGTCCTTGTTTAATTTCTTCATATGACATCATCTGCAGGCCATCATTTAATAGGTCGAACCCAAACTCAACGATTGCTAAAATCTGCCGTTCAATGAAAGATGAAGTCAATAATTGGAAACATAGCTAAAACATTATTGTGTTTAGACTTGCAGAATGCCTATTGCACTCTGCTCTTAACTTTTTCTCCTGACAAGAATGCTGTGTGAGTATATACCCCGGGAAATTGTTGGCCTTGTTATTCTATCTTATATCTTCATTGATCTTCAGAAACCAAACTGCTATTATTCGGTGCAGGTATTATGTATTGACCATGTAAGCTTTTGACTTTTTGAGTTTTTTTTAATGAAAGATGCTGTAGTCAATTCTTCTAACTGCGTTCTTCCGGATTGGCTACCATCTCAAAAGATTTGATTTGAATAGTTGTGAGTTGACTGACTATACTAATATAAACTCATTGAGGAGATGAGTCTATTATCTAAGCATTCTACGGAATTTTAATACATAATATCCGAAAAACTTGGGTAGATGAACAAGACACGGATTCAAACTCATATTCACTATAAACAAAAATACAATTTGTCCATCATTGAGAACATATTTAATACAAACAAAAAATCTAAATTTTATCCTTCTTATCCCACTCAGATCTTCATCACGTACTGCAAGTTAATTACTGAGAGAAAAATATACTATCCAATTCAATTTGGTGCATGATTTTTTTCCTTTAGAGCAAAACAATGCAGTCTAAACATTTTACACTTGATTACAATAGTAATTTTGCATTTGATTAAGAGCAAATGGAATTCGTATTGCTGCTCTTTCGAAGTCTGAGCTACCAGCAACACTTGATCCCCTTCCAAATGAGATTGTAGAAGGCTTCATTGATGGCTACTTGTGAATGGTGCAAAAGAAAAGGTTTTAAACACAACTTATAAGATGATGAGCAAGCTAGTGAGCTACGATGCTGGAAGGAAGAGACTATCTGTCAAGAACAAGATCAATCAGGGAGAGCATGAAGTTTCAATAGCTGATGAAGCCTCCGGCGAGTGACTGATCCATCCAGTTGAAATATTCTATTCAAGAACCTTGCCAGCATCAGAAATACTTCCCTAGTTGAGGGATCCGTTCCAGGCCAGTAATGCAAGAAGGCTATCAAGCCATCCATGCGTGCTCCAGCAGTCTGTGGTTTTATTTTGGTTGTCCTCCTGTGCAGTACCCTGCTGCATTAGGTACTTGAATTAATGAAAGGAACTAGTAGAAGAAAAAAGAAATATAGAATTGGAGCATTTATACCTGACAATTAACAGGCAAAAACTTTGCAGTACAGTTCCAATATCTGTTTGAAAGTCAGATGCTCTTTCTTGGAGGACCTGCAAAAGGAAATCTAAGATTTATGCGTATGCTGCTTTTCAGCTTTGCGGGGCAATGGAACAAAAAAGAAAAGCCAGGATATAGAACAGAAAAAAAAAAAAATCAACAATAACCTTTCAATTCAAGGAGACTAAGCATCACGAGGGGGGAGGGGAAAAGGTGAGGACTTGAGAATTGAACTAGAGACCTGATTATCTGTTTAATTTTCCTACCAGCAGAGCTGGCTAGAGGGTAAAACCACAAAGCACACAATAAATTTGACCACCTTCTCTTGGGTTTGGTCAGCAAAAGATAGGACCCTTGGGGAGCTTCCAAATGTCTTTCATATGGAAAAGAACATATGTAGACTACGAAACATGAAGTAGGTGAAATGATCCTCAATTAGAGGCTAGTAATAACATGAAGGAACACCTGAACAGATGACTGTCATTATCTTTTTTAAACTTTTTAAGCGATAAAGAATAAAAATGTATTAACAACAAAATGATCAAACCACTTTGGCAGTTCCAGTTTAGCAACAAAATGTATTTCTTGCTTTGGGCATCAACCCTCTATACAGATAATTACTGTCAGACTATCTACCAGGCAGCCTTCCACTCCATGTACTCCCTCGTCCCTCTCAAAGACCAACTTTTGGAGAGAGAGAGAGAGTAGATGCTGCAAAAACATCTTTAACAACCATTCCTAGAAAAGCAGAAGTTGCATGGATGATGCACGACCAGTTAGCAGCAACTTATAATCAATGGTGATTGCTTTCTTTAGTATTAGAAAATGACTTGTGCAAACATATTAATGGCTTGCAGGAATCATGATAGTAGCATCATGGCATGATTGAATGCTTGTGCCGCTTTGGGGCATCAATTGCCATAGCAATTTGCAAAGACCTTTTAGCTTCTTGTCTCTTCCTTAAACCTCAAATGTCCCATTCCAACAAGTAATATATTAACAGGACATTTGTTGAGGATATTAAATTGGTATTCCTGCTTTCGCTAGCTTTCATCTTCCCTTAGCTGGCAGTTGATCTACGAGCCAGAAGCTGGCATATTCTTCTTTTCCATCTATTTTTTTTTCCTTTCATTTTCTTTTTCTTCACTTCCCTCTGAGATCAGAAAATTCACCAGAATCGTTCCCAGGATTCACAATAGCTGTGATTAACTAGAAGTACAGAAATTAAATCAAACCTATCTTGTTTCTTAATGATGTTGAAACTTTAACTTTGGTTACATAATTTGTCAACAAACTGAAAGTGGCCATTATCTACGTTTCTCTCTCTCTCTCTCTCTCACAAAAACTGCAGAAGCCAAATATTGATTTTAAATCAGATTGAGTCTGATAAACTCAAAGCACGTTTTCAATGCAAATAGGAAGCCAGACTGCACAAGTTGGATAGAAAACAAAGTAACAGTCTAAAATGCTAAAACTAAATTTTGGTAATGATTCCTTTCGTCAAGTTCAAATTCCCTTCCTCCAGAAACTTTCAGCATCTAACTTCATCAGCTAGAAATCTGTTTCTTTAGCTTCTTTATGCATATCAAGGTGTCAGAAGCACAATATCAGGGCTAATGGCCAAGTCTAAAGCACAACTAGTTTACAAAGTTTAGGACATTCTACAGGAACAAAGCATAACAAAACTCTTCAAAAACAAGCAGGAGCAAACTCATATACCTAGATGGCAAAAATGAAAAAAAAGAAAAGAAAAGAAAAAAGAGGAGTAAAAACCAGAAAAATTAAAATCCTCATGCTTACCAACCTCTGAGTAGTTAATACACATATTCTACACAACATGACCACAATAGCATACCGAATTATTGGCAATTCAAAAAAAAGAAAAGGAAAAAGAAAGTGTCGGGTCATTCCGCTATTTGATTTCAGAAAAGAAAATTAGTACTCTCGCTAAAATACAGAACAGGAATAGAAAAGTGTACCTGGCATGTATGCTTGTGCTCAGCTGGTTGAAAGGATCACACAAATCTGTAGCCATATTGAAGAAAATTTCAGAAATTGGGACGATGGATCATAAAAATTATGAAATATTGAAGGAACTAAGAACATCAGAATAGTATATAGAAATAAATCTAGTTGATAGACAATGTTGAATTCATATATGCATGTCTAATCAAATCAAATAATTAATTGGAAATCTCCAGAAATTGCGTTGAGAAGCACGAAAAGTTATAGCATTGAACTGATTGAACATATACAAATAGAACATCAAAGAAAATATATCTAACCTAATAAGTGGAACCACACTCTGCTTTTGCAAAATGTGATGAGAGGAGATCGACTCTCTTTCTGAGTCGGCACTTAGCAGAAAACGTGGACCATCACCAATTCCGTGCAGCAGCAACAATCTTTAGATCCTTATTTCCCATATCCATCTGCTCTTGCCAAATTTGCTTCACAGAATTTACTGCAGACTCAGGACACCATATTACCTCAATCATGTCAAGAGTGAGGGCTTCCCCTAAACAAGAAGGGACCTCTTCCAGCCATTTACACATAGTCAAAACCAATTTCTCAAGACAAAATTATCAGAAGAGGCGGCCGACCAGCGAAAGTCCAACTGTGACAATTTCAAGAATCGGAGGTTTTGGAACTCCCCTTCTTGCATTTCCCACTTTTCCCCTGCAAAGGTGATAGGGTATAATTTGTTGATAGTTTTATTATTAATTTTTCCTTCTATTTCTGACAAATATTGTGTTAATTACGGATATCTACTTATATTTGGCTTGTGGCCTTAATTTCAGGGATGGAACAGAAACTACCAAGCTTGAGGGTCTTTTTGGAGAAAGTTGAGACTTCAAGCAAGTCACAGGCCAGGGCCACAGTGCTGAAAAGAGCTGGACTCCCGTTCCTTTGTTTTCTGGTTGACCAAGAAGATTACAACCAGAGACTTCGGCAAGAGAGAACTTGAAGGCTTGGGCCTTTGACTTTGGTAGGGACCACGGAGGAAAGGAGAAGGGCTTTGATCCTTTGGTTCTTAAGAGGAAAGCAACGTAGAAAGCCAGAGGAACAAAGTAGAAATTTGTGGGCTTGTGCCAATTGGTGGGACCACTGAATACCTTTCCTTTGGCTTTAATTAGGGAAAAAACGTACCGAGGACGGACGGCTTTAGATTTTAGCTCCTGAGTTTAGTTTTCTTTTTTTTTCTTTCTTTTTCTTGACTCGCCTGTGACACACGTCAGGTGTTCGATAATATTTCCCAACGGAAAAAACACCTCTTATTCCTTGCTTCCTAATAAAAACCGCTATGCCTTTGCAATTTATTAATTCGTGTGATGATTTAATTATGCGACGTGACTAAGTCTTCTATCTAGTCAAGGGTCAACTCGACGGCGCAGTCCCGAAAATCTGTGAGATCTAATTAGTTTTCGCGTGTTCCTTTATCTATTAATATTTGCATGTTGTCTGATTTAATTTTCATGAGATTATTTTATTAATTGGATGTCAAGGGCCCGATGTTCAATGTGATATATTAATCTCATGCCAATTTAGTCAATTAAATCCGTAATTGTTTGATTGATTAATATTAGTGGCAACTGGTGTGTTTGCACATTAGGGGAGTGTGCAATCTAATTTAAATAACCCTCGTAGCGTGTTATTGATTTGGGCTAGATTTTTCTGGTTATTAATGCAATTGGAAAATTAATTCCTACGGTCGTACCTAGGAGTACTTTTCTGGTTAGGGGTGACTAATGGTCGTACCTTGGTCACCTATAAATTAAGGAAAAATTGGTCATTAGAGTTTCTCGATGGCTATAACTAGTCTATTAATGAATTAAGTGAACCTCTCTTGCATCAATGATCGGATAAATGGACTGTGCTTGAGTAGTTATATCCTTGGCTAGAATTTATTTATTCCTGATTAAATTCCTGCTATATTTGTGCTAGTGATTTATTCATTTTTAATTAAATTGTTTAATTATTTTTAGTTTCATTCCTGTGAAATCCCCCCTTATCAATTGGACTTTAAAAAGAGACAGATATCTCCAGTCCCTGAGGAGACGACCCTACTTGCCACTGTCTACTATTTAGTAATTTTTGTCAATTAATTAATTCTGGTATATCAGATTAAGCAAACTCTTCGGGAACAGGATGAATCAAGTAACCCATTGCACACCTAGAGTCCCTACTCCAGTACTAGGGCTGCAAACGAATCGAGCCGCTCGCGAGCCGCTCGAGTCGAACTCGAGATTAATCGAGCTCGAGTCGAGCTCGAGCCAGCTCGAGTCAACCTCGAGCTCGAACTCGAGCTCAAAATATTAAACTCGTTAGCTCGCGAGCCGGCTCGCGAGTTTGAGTATATATATTTATATATTTTTTTATTTTTATTTAATAATAAAATTACGTATATTATATATAAATATATTTTAATTTTTTATTTTCATAGTGAAATTACGTATATATCCTTAATATTTTATTATTTATTCAGAAAAAAATATTAGGTTTGTTTGGATTGCTTCATATTTTCTCAATTTTATTTGCTTACATCATCTTTACAATTTCCAATACACCTTTTTATCTTCCCAATATCTTTTTATCTCACATACATCACATCACAAAAAGTGCTACAGTAAAAATATCCCAAATAATCCCAAATAACTTACAATCCAAACAGACGCATTATTTTTTTTATTTTTTTTAAAAATAAAATTATTTTTTTTTATTTTTTTCGAGCTCGAGCTTGATAAAATTTAGTCGAGGCTCGGCTCGATTAGCTCAAAACTCGACTCGGCTCGGCTCGTTTGCAGCCCTATCCAGTACCTAGGATTAATTATTGATTGCTCTTAGTGGTAACTAGGTTCTATATTTATTATTATTATTGCACAGGTTTGGCACCTGTCAATTTTTGGCGCCGTTGCCGGGGACTGGCGTTATTATTTGTTTCTTTTTAAATTCATTTTTTGTCCTAATTTTCTGGTATTTTTTCTAGTGTATGCCGCGATCCTCTCGTACAGGTAATTTGGTTTTTGACCCTGAGGTAGAGAAGACTGCGCGTAGGACAAGAAAAGAGACCAGACAGCTCCGAGAGGAGCACTCCAGTGCTACATCTCAGAGACCTGAGCCAGAAGCTGAACCAACAAATTCATTTGGTAACACTTCGAGTGACTCAGAGCAAGAAGAAATCCCCATGGCTAACGCACGAACATTAAGGGAGTTGGCTGCTCCTGATTTAACTCAGCAGCCTTTATGCATTACTTTCCCGAGCTTGAGTGATAACACTTCATTTGAATTGAAATCAGGTCTAATTCATCTTTTACCTTCTTTTCATGGCTTACCAGGTGAGGAGCCGTATAAGCATCTGCAAGAGTTTGATGTCGTGTGCAATAGTATGAAACTCCCGGGAATTACAAAAGAGCAGATAAAAATGAGGGCGTTTCTCTTCTCTTTGAAAGATTCTGCGAAGGACTGGCTGTACTACCTGTCACCAGGTAGCATCACCACGTGGGACCAATTGAAGAAAAAAATTTTGGATAAATATTTCCCTGCGTCCAGGGCTGCAAGCCTAAGGAAAGAAATCTGCGGGATCAAGCAACATCCAGGGGAGTCACTCTACGAGTATTGGGAACGGTTCAAGAAATTGTTGCATAAGTGTCCCCAGCACCAGATAAGTGAGCAGTTGCTCATTCAGTATTTTTATGAGGGGCTCTTATTCAGAGATAGGAGCATAATTGATGCTACAAGTGGAGGGGCACTGGTGAACAAAATCCATCGGGAAGCACGGGAGTTGATAGAGGGGATGGCAGAGAATTCACAACAATTCGGTACGAGAGAGGATGTCCCAATACGCAAGGTGAACGAGATAGAGACACCATCTGTGCAGCAGCAGCTAGCTGAGTTGACCGCGTTTGTTAGACAACAGGCTGTGAGAAATGCATCACAAGCCAGGGTGTGCGGAATTTGCACTGGTATGGGTCATTCTGCAGACATGTGCCCAATGATTCAAGAAGAAACTGCAGAACAGGTGAACATGGCTGACCACGCGCCCGCGCCAAGGAAGCAGTACGACCCTTACTCAAACACCTACAACCCCGGGTAGAGAGATCATCCCAACCTCAGTTATGGAGGGAATAGGCAACCCAACTTTACACCGAATAGGCAGTCTAACTTTGTGCCAAATAAGCCACCGGGGTACCAGCAGCAATTCCAATCCCGACCGCCTCCGGCCCCAAGCTCTGGTTCATCTTTGGAAGAGATGATGAAACAAATTATGACAACCATGGCGCAAAATCAGCAAAGGACGGAGGCAACCATTATGCAAAATCAGCAAAGGACGGACTCCGAAATGCAGGATCTAAGGAATTAGATAAGTCATAACCTAATTTAAGGACTTCAAGGTTGGGCAGCTTTCCAATTGCTGAAATTTTACTCCATGGCTGACGATTATTTGAGAGAGTCAACTTTCTCAAATTCAATGGGAATTCAAACTCATATCTTTAAAACTGCTCATCTTAAGTGATTCTAATCGACTTAAGTGGTCCAGCACGAGAATCCCATCATGTACTCTGTCAGGGACATCCACGCATTTTAGCCTGCAGATGCTCGGAAACTTTGTCAGTATCTTTTGCAAGCTTTGAGGAGAGGAATTAATTGCAAGGGTTAAAGTGTCTAAATGTTCTAAATCTGGTGAGCCTTCAAGATTGTCGATGCGAAATTGGAAACCAGTTTCAAAGGGTCCAGATACGACAAGATGCCTCAATGGTTTAATGGTCCAGATAGTGTTTGGTAACAAAAAGCAACTTCCAACGGGTTCTATGACAAATGTTTCTAATCTTGAGAGCTTGGCTATTGCAGATGGGATACCAGCTTTACCGTCCAATCTAATGTTCAAGTACCTCAAGTGAACAAAGAATACTACTACTTCCTCTGAAAAATATCTACCAAAAACCAAATTGTAACCCAAATCCAACACTCTAATAAGTTTAGGTGATAGAAGTTTGAACCAAATTTCACCCAATTCCGCTTCCTCATAACCATCATCAAAGAAGAGCAAAGAACGCAAATTGGGGAAAAATAGCATTGACTTTTTGAGTCCCTGACTCGTAGTAGGGTAAATAGCTAGTCGGTGGGGGTTACACTGTCCAATAAAAGTAAGAAGGTCATCCCCATGTGAAATCTGTAGAAAACTTTCTTCTCTTGCTTTTGCCACACAAAACTCATGTACCAAATCATGAACTCGGCAAACTTTGATCCCACCTAAAGATCTTTGTTTGGTAGCCATAACTAAACTTCTCCCAATCAAATCCATCAAATAGTTATCCGCCACATCCTCTAAACTCTTTCCTTCAGTTTTTTGGACGAATCCTTCAGCCATCCAAAGCCATGACAACTTTCTGACAGGAATGTCTTTATCTTCTTGAGATGCACCAAAATAAATAAGGCATGGTTTCAAATAATCTGGTAAATAATTGTAACTGTGCTCAATTGTCTTCATGCAGTGCTCATCGTCAGCAAAAATGCTAGACCTTAGATGTCTTGCAACTTCTTCCCAGCAATCTTGCTCAGTAGTAGCGAGAATTCCAGCAACGAGGACAATTGTGAGAGGTAGGCCCTTGCAGTCTTTTGCTACGTGCTGTACAACTTCCCTTAATGTTGGAGGACAATCTTCTTTGGCAAATAGCTTCTTCTGCAGCAATTCAAAACTCTCCTTATCAGTAAGTGGGCGATGACGGTGGGGCAGGCTATCAGGTTTAATTTGCAGAGACAAATTCTGAAATCTGCTAGTTAAGAGTATCCTGCTTCCATTGCAGTCATCTGGCAACGAGTGTTTCAACAAATTCCATCCTTCAATGTCCCAAACATCATCCAAAACAATGACATACCTCATCCCTTTCAAATGCTGGTACAACATTTGAGCCAAATCATCTTCATTCATCTCGTGGTATTGGTTAGAACTGTTAGAATCGATAACACGCAAAATCTGCAGTAACAAATTGTGCTTGCTATATACTTGAGAAACAGTACACCAAACACAAATATGGAAGTGGAACTTTATTGAAGGATAACCGAAGACATTATTGGCTAAAGTTGTCTTACCAAGCCCAGGCATACCCACGATGGCAACAACATCGAACCAGCTTGATCCTCTCGTAAGTCTATCAATTATACTTTCTACCTCATCATTGAGACCTACCAAAGCTTCATTAAATGATGGAGCAGTAACTTGTGATGGCATGTGAATGGTAGTCTTGGTTAGCCTCGTAGTTTCACCATCAAATCTTATGCTATCATAGATCTCTTCAGCCTCTATTTTCATAAGCTTGATATCTCTAGCAAGTAGCAACAGCATCCAGACAATGTTCATGTTGATCACCAACCAATGCAGAGTCAACTTGTAGTTCTACACTGTAAGCAACCTTCATGACACGACTCCAAAGAGCTTGGAGTTTTTCATTTCATTTGCGCTGCTCTACAACATTTCCTAGAAAAGATTGATAGGTCATAATTTGTTGTTAAATTTATAATTATTCTCCCCCTGATTTTAGCCAAATATTATTTTAATCGTCGGATTCTACTTATATTTGGTATTTTGTGCTTATTTCAGGAGAAAGAATGAAAAGTGGTTAAAATCAAATTTCAGAGAACTTCTTGATGAGTAGGTGTGCCCACGCCTAACTCCAGCCTTCTTGGCCGGACCTTCGGGATTATGTGCACGTGGAAAGCTTCCTAGAATGAGTGGAATAGCTGACTTCAAACCAGGAAATCACAAGACTCGTGGGCCGCAGAGGTGTAGAGAATAAAAACTCTAATCCTACAAAATGTCAAGGACTTGGAAGCTTACTTTTCTTTTCAGCGGCCAATAGGAACAAAGCCAGAATCACGTATGAATTAGACTAGCTTGAGTTTCCTTTTTCTAGCGGTCAGACGTCTTCTTTTTCGGGGGACAATTCCTATCTTTTTATTCTTACTTCTTAGCCGGCTTTTGGGGAGAGGAAAAGAAAACGATGAAAAAGCTTCGGTCAACCTTTTCTCAATTGCTTTGCACGGCTTGTTCTCCATTAATGGAGAACTAAGTTCTTATTTCTAGTCAATGGACAACTGAAGATTTAGTTCAACAATAACTGTGAGATCTAAATTATTTTAATTATTTCCTTCATTTATTGGTATTTGTATGTTTTCTGCTTTAAATTGTTGTTATAGCTATCGTGTATGATTGAATAGATGCGCAATATTTAATTATTCACGTAGGCTATTTGCTAGTTAGGGGTAATTGAATCCGTAATTGTTCGTTATCTCTATCTCAGTAGCAACTGGCGTAATTGGGTTTGTGTCAGAAAAATATACGATCTAATTTAAACAAACCCTCGTAGCGTGTTTGTTAGTTAGGATTGGGCCTTTCTAATTATTAATACAATTTACAAATTAAATCCTACGGTCATACCTAAGGTTGTTTTTGGGTTAGAGAAATAGTTAACGGTCGTACATTGACTATCGAGAAATTAAGGAAAGGTTGGTTGTTTATCGCGTGAATGACAACTATAACTAATCTATTAATAAATGTGGAATTATCTGTGAATCGATGATCAGTACATGAACCATTTCTGAAGTGTACCCTTGGCTAGAGTTTCTCCAATAATTATTTCTTTTATTTATTTTCTGCATTTAATTTATTTAGTTAGCATTTGATACCAAAATCCCCCATTAATCTTGATTTGAAAAGAAACAAAATATCTTGCTAGTCCCTGAGGAGACGACCCTGCTTACCACTATCTACTAGTTAGGGAATTTAGTTAAATAATTAATTCAGGTATATCGGATTAAACAAACTTTTCGGGAACAGGGTGAATCAAGTAACCCATTGCACACCTAGAGTCCCTGCTCCAGTACTCGAATTGATTATTGACTGAACTCTAGAAGAAACGAATTATCCCCAGTCCCTGTGGATTCGACCCTACTCACCGCTATATACCAAATTTATATTTTTCTCGAGTAGGTATTTATTATTGCACAGGCTCGACCCCTGTCAAAGATCTTAAGAAGACAAGATCTTCTAGGATTGTGCGTATTTGATCGTTTGGGAAAGCAATTGAAGCAGCTGTAGAGCTTGCTAGTTCCTTGAGAGTTTCTAGAAGAGAATCAAGAGAGCCGAGTTCATTAGTCCTAGGGAAAGTAAGTGATGATGATGATGGTGCTGAATAAATGTGTCCAACTTCAGCAATGATCAACTTGAGCACTTCGAGCAAATGAGAAAGTGCCAGATCTGTTTCCATGTGCAAGCCTTCTTTCATTTCGTTCACAGAAAGGGAGAAAATCGCAATACCTGCATCAGAGACCACAACTCCAATTAGATCCTTCATCTCATCATTTAGCTCATCGAACTTCTCCTGCTGCCCGCTAAGAAAGATAATCAGAAATCTTAGTCCCTGGTGGAGTTTTAACATTTGATCCTTCACTGGAACTAGGAAACTTGTATAAGATTCTAATAGCTCCATAAGACTCTGCAGGAGATGATCAATAAATTCAGCCACAAGATGCTTATTCTCCTTCATAGCGAAAGTGTAGGACGATCATGATAACTTGGAAGCTGTCAAGACATTGATATAAATTTCTCGGACCTGGGGGTCAACCGGATCAATCTTCTTGTGTATCAGTTCAGAAACTTCAGGTTTCATCTCATTGTGCACTTGTTCATTATTTATCTGAAACCAATATCTACACATCAGGCTTGCAGCATTGACAGCCACATCTTCAACGTGGACCAACAGATCTTTTGATTCCTGAACCCCAACATCTCGAAGTGTCGCAAAACGAATGAAACTCTTGACGAACATTAGCTTCTCTTCAAGAATTTTCAGTACAATTCTCTGAGTTTCATCAACTTCATCTTCTTCGTAGCAAAGATACCTCAGATTCTCTGAATGGAATCAATGAAATCCACAACTAGTTGTGAATCTCCCAGTGAGTAGTAGAGCAACAAACTGGTGATGTTGAATTCCTCAATATCTATTTCAGAAAAACACCTCATATTTTCCGCAATTTTAGCGAGCTCAGAATCGATGACACTAAGATCTGAAGCACCAGATTGATTGTATCTAACAATAGCAGAGTGAAGTCCTAGCGGTATCACCATAACTAGATCTTGAATCTTGTATGAAATACTGCTAAGTCTCAAACTGTCAGACTTAGCATCATCCCTGTTCTCCTTATCATATCCAGTGTTTTGAAAACCGGACCGGACCGGCCGGTTCGACCGGTTGAACCGCGAACCGGCCATGGCTCCGGTCCGGTTCACTGCCAGGTTTGACTTTGTCAAGAAACCGGTCAAAAACCGGTCGGACCGCGAAACCGCTGAACCGGACATGAACCGGTTTTTTCCGGTTTTTGAGTTTTCCTCTTTTTTTCTTTTTTTTTTTTTTTGCAAAATGTAGTTATCAAGATTCGAACTCAAGACCTTTGTAATAGAATACCAATGTAGTAACCGTTGCACTATCACATCTTATTAGTTTTTTTTGATAACTTATTTATATAAAACAAACACTCATATTTCTTTTGTTCCATTTTTTTTACAAAATATTATCCTTTCATGACTCTTTCTTTTTAATTTTCAACACACACACACACACACACACTCTCTCTCTCTCTCTATCATCTTTTCTTTTGCCACTCATTTTTTAATCAAATCTCTTTATTTTTAATTTATTGATGTTTTCTTCCATATTTTAATTTTGTTTTTGTCCATTAAATTTAAAAAAGTTAAAAAAGAATTATTTTTCTTTAACCCAAATTATTTAATACCACAACCACTCACTTTTATCTCATTTTTTGTTTCTTATCAAATTTGCATTTCTATTTTCAATTCTCTTGATTTTCTTCGAACTCCAAACTTCCTTTTTTAAATTATAAATTTAAATTCCAAAATGTAAATTAAAATTTAAATTCACAATGTCTAAATTCTCATAGACGTGAATTTTGTATAATTTCAAATATTGTGATATTTTTGGATTATATTTAAGATTTTTTTGGTAGATATAATTGAAATTGAGATGAAATTTATTTGTTTTAACTTATAATTTAAAAAATTTATTTTTAAAAATCCAAGTTATTCAAAAATAGTAAACTTTTCATCATATAAAGTATTAAATTATCCATTACATGTTTTATTTTGTGCACATATATATTTATATAAATTATTTTTTAAAAAATTCATTGAACCGAGGTTGAACCGGTCCGACCGATTGAACCTCGACCCTTTCACTTCACCGGTTCGATTAACGGTCCGGTTTTTAAAACATTGATCATATCCCAAACACGTACCCTGGTTACTCCTCCTCCTACACTTTCTAATATACATATCCAAGGTTTTCAATAGACGTATCCCCACCTTCAGCTTCAGGATCTCAGAATGCAACAGCCAGCTCACCTCTCTCAAAAAATTCTCTTCAAGCCAGCCCAGATAATCTAAAGCATAGTCGAAGCAACTAGTGCTACTGCTGAAGGAGATGTTCATCATAGTAATCTGCTTTTCACTCTGATGTTTGATTTCTGTCTGTTGTAGCAATTGATATTCAAGATCTGCAACTTTGTTATGATCTAACAAGAAGAAGAACAGCAGTCACACATTGCCATCAAGGATCAAGACTTTTTTTATTTTTCAATATATCCGTGTGTGTGCACGTGGTATGTCTGGTTGATGTACATCGCAAGACTTTTCCTTCTTCCCGATAAAAAAGAAACTTTGTCAAGGGAAGATGGTGTTGTGTCCTGGCAGAATCCAAGCAGATCATTCGTCAATTATGCCAGGCTGGCAGCTTAGCTGGAAGAGTTAGTTAGAGGGAATCTTTTCTATTATCCGGAAGTCTGCATGCAAATAAGCTCAATTCTGTATAAATAACCGAAGGATGTATTGGTTCAGTAGTTTTTGAGATAGATTCATTCTTAATTCATTCAGATCACATTTTCTCATTCCCTTCATTCTCTCTCTGTATCTCTCTTCCCTCTCAGATCTATTCTATCTCTTTTCTGATTTCTACTAACTTTTCCTTGCTCAGAAAGTTAACCACAACAGATGGTACCAACAGGCATATGTTGTCGTTGACCCACCATACCAATGAGCTTCTGCCATGTGAATATGGCGGCCCCAAAAAACCAATGTGGAGACGGGTTGTCCCATAGCTGTATCACTCAATTATTGCTCACTTTAATTTGTGACAAGCATGCGAATTCCTAGGAATATTGTCAAAATTGAAAATGGTCAAAAAAATTGGTGTTCTGTTGTGATGGCGTTTTGAATGAAGTGTCGCTGCAATTGAGAAGTAAGGCTGCTGATAAAAATATTTTTAATTTTTAGTTATTTTGATTCAGTTTAATTTTTCTTTTTTTTTTCTTCTCTTAAAAGCCTTCTCCGCTCAACTCATGAGCGGCGAAGACTTTTGGCCTTCATAGTACCTTATTGCCTATTTAATATTAAATATTTAATAACTTATTTAATGTTTAGTAAAAGGCACCTTTTATTATTTGATATTTAATATTTAATAACTTATTTAATGTTTAATAAAAGGTAAGGTGACCAAGTTTTTTTCTCCCATAAAACATAACCCTAATTAGGCATAATTATGATTTTACGTTTTACACGAAATACTAATTTCCAAATCACAATGTAACCCTTTAATCCTAATTTTAAAATCAAAATTCTTAAGTCGTATTACTAAAATTCTATTATAAATCAAAATTTTAAAATATGATATTAGAATAATATTAAATTTATAAATTAAGATGATAATCAAGTATGCTATTAAATTACTAATAAAATTTGCCTAAGTCATATTTTTAAAATTTTTTAATATTATTATCGCAATCAATAATGACAATAATACAATATTTATAGAATATAATAATTAGTATATAAACTTAAATAATAATAAATTAGGCTTAATTAGAGTTTAGGGTTTCAATAATCGGTATACTATTAAAAACACTCTATTCTATGTTTTACCTAAGTCATATTTTTAAAATTTTTAATGTTAATGCTAATTTGAATAATGATAAATAATGCAACATTAAACAATATTTATAGAATGTAATAATTATTATATAAACTTAATTGATAATAAAATGAAAGTTTTGATAAGAAAAATTCAAAAAATTTAAATATCACTAATCAATGCGCCTCTTGCCCTTATCTCGCTGAGTGGTAGAACAGCCATATTTCCAATGTCTCACGGAGTGGTAGAACAGCCACATTTCCAATGAATTCTCCTATGTGGTAGATCTCCTCCATAATGTTGAAAATTCAAATTGCGGCATTAGTTTTAAAAAACAAAATTAGTTCATGGTTGTTACTCTTTTTTATAAAAAAAATAAAAATAATAAGAGGGTCAATGATAATCGGTGGCAAGACTATCGCCGCAATCGGAATTTGCGATTTTACTTTAAAAAAATTGTTTTTTCAGTTAAAAAGATTAATTTTTGTAGCAATCAATAATTGCCTTTTCACTTTAAAAGAAAATATATTGATCGACAATCTGCGTTCGTTGATCACATAGGAGAAAATAAAAAATTTTGATTTGCGGCGTCAATTAAAAGAACAAATTTGACACCGCAAATCAAATTTGCAGCGTCTGGGGAAAAGTCAAAAAGCTGATGCCACAAACGATGTCAGCTTTTTAAATTATTAAAAAAATAAAACGTGAATGCCCAATGCTGCCAAGCGAAATAATGAGACGTTTGTCCCTATTAGCTGTAGAGCTACACCGCGTGCTGTCCTGTCAAGGTGGGGAAGGCTGCTCGCCGCTCATCTGATGAGCGGAGAAAGCTCTGCAGAAATTATACAAAATTGCATCAACAAAAATAAATACAAATTAATTCTAATTTTATTGATAATCTTATACCTAAAATGCGGCGACCATGTCATGTGAGCAGGACTGGGCTTGTGTTCGTTCGAACCGTTGAATTACTATATGAGCATATGGTGCATTTTGGGTTAATCGATCTAAGAAATTTTTATGAACTAATGTTTGAAAAATTAGAGATGCATTCAGATGAGGGGCTGAATGCCTTTTTATGTTGCAAGGATGACAAATTTGAAACCTTTTTAAAGTTAGTAGTGGTTATCTTTTCTCTGGTTTTTGGTTTTGGTAGACAGACAGAGGAAATTTGAACAAGCAATTCTAAGAATATAGCGTATTTTCAGGTGGGCAAACTTCCGTCAGCAGTCAAATTACTGCCAATATATTATTTTAATTTGCAGCCGTACAATATTCAATCAAATCTAAATATTCAGTCAATGTGCAGTACAAAAAATGAACACTTCAGATTACTTATGGGGTGTTTTTTTTGACAAATTATACTTTGCCCCCCTATAATTTAGTATTTTTTGTACATAATCTTCCTATAGTTTCAAAAACTATACATAGCTCCCTCATGATTTGAATTAAAATGTCAAATTGACGGAAATGGTCATTCGCAATGAAATCTTTAAAAATGTCGAAATTAACTTTGTTTAAAAATTAAAATAGCTGAAATGACTACGATATATAAACATAATATACATGTTACACTAATCCCGTACGGTTTTATATTTTATCATATAAATCTCTTATGATTTTCAAAATATACACTTAATCCCCCTATGATTAATAAATAATATTCAACTTTATATATGAATATTTTTTACATTTCAGGTGACTTCGTTATAGATTATAAATTTCTTTACTTTGATGCTTTAATAAAATCATAAGGAAATTATGAATAACTTTTGAAACTATAAAAGAGTTACGTACAAAAATACTAAATAGGGTGAAATATAATTTGCTTTTGGAGGTGTTTGGGGGGGGGGAGGGTGTGTTCAAAGTACAGGGTAAAGACAACACGAAAATGGGCACCAGAGATCAACCTAGTTTTCATCTAAAGCTTTCCAACTAAAGATCCTGATTTGGAAAACCAAGGGCCTATTTGGAACCTGAGTTTTTTGAGAGTTTGTCTAAAACTTTACTGTAGTGCACTGTAGAAGTTTTTGAAAAAATTTTGTAGAAGTTTTTGTAAGGTTAAAAATTTTTTTTGTAGAAGTTTTTGAAATGTTACTGTGAGGACTCGCAAATTCCTTGTATTTTTTTCTCAAAAATACCCTTTTATTTGGAAATTATTATTTATTAAAACCCTACTACCCAAATACTTCACACTAAGTGTAAATAAACCTAGAAAATAGGGTTTTCCGCTTCGGTTTCAGGATTTGAGCAAAATTAGGGTTTTTGCGATTTTTCGCCGGATGAATTTTCGGTACAAAGTAAGGATTAATTTTTGGGATTAAAAGTGACCTTTAAGTGAGAAATAATATGTGAGTAGTAGCAATGAGATAAGGTTAGTGAATGGGAAGTAAAAACCCTAGTACGTGAGTTTTTAAGAAAAACGGCGCGAACCGGCGGGTCCCGCGCACTACCGATTGAACGCACCGTTTGACCACCATTTTTCTTACCAAACAAATTTATTGAACTTGACCAAAATATATTCTCTCTTAGCAGCAAGGTGGACCGAAATTAGTGGCTAGAAAATAGCAAGAAAGAAAGAGAAAAATTTGGTGGTCAAGATTAGGCCAAGTGTTGGCAAAAATTGTGGTCACAATTAGCCCTAATCTTCTTACTTCCTTATAAGACAAACCAAGCTCCATCTTCCTTCATTTTTCTGCTAAGGAGCCCAGAGAGAGAGAGAGAGTAAGAACAAGAGAAAACTTCTTCATTTCATCTTCAAATCCAACAACTTAGTGAGAAAATAAACAAAGTAAACCGATTAAACTTGTTCTTGAGTGACTAGGTGGTGATTTGTGGTAAGTTTTTGGAAGGAGGAAGCTTGGGCTACTCTTTGTGACTTCTATTCAAGGTAAGAGAGCTTATCTCTCTAAGTTTTGCTTTCAATTTTGTTAAATTAAGTTTAGTAGTTTGATTATAGTGGTGGAATCATGGATGATTAGCATGTTTTAGAGGTTTTTCTCCAATTTATTTGATGAACTAGGGCTTGTGAAAATTCTGCCCAAATTGTTGTATGATGCTTATATGTTGCAATTGAGGTTGTATAAGGTGTTTTGGTAGTGATTGGACCAAGAAATTAAGAAAAGTTGCACTAGAAACTCAAAATTTCAGAATCTGGAATTTTTGCTCAACATTCTGTCCGAATTTGTATCTGTATGATAGAGGCCGAATTGGCCTTAGGTCAAAGAATAAAAATTGTAGAGAATGGCATTTTATAGGTGCCTACAAAATTTCAGCTCAATCGGAGCAACGTAAGACGTGAAAAGTCCAAAATACCCTTACTGTTTTAAGTATTTCCCAGCAGTCCGTTTTATCAGTTAAGTCCAGTTTATCACGTTTTTTGACTAGGAGCCGTACTGATTTAGCTCTGGGCCAAAACATGAAAGTTGTAGTGTTCTGAAGTAGCTTTAAAATGCCTCAAAGAACACCTGAATTGGACTTTTGTACACTGAGTTATGACCATTACAGTGTTCTGCGTTTAAGCAGCCGACGAATTGGTTTCTGGTTTAGTAATTCGAGAATTTGACTAAGTTACATTAGGAACTGGACTAAGTGACCTTCATGAATATTGTAGCTCTGTGTCTTAGCTTCGAAACGGCATAGTTTCATTTTAATCCGATAAGCGTAGCCTCGGATATTTTATTTCCGCATTTGTACGTCAAATCTGCCTTGAACTAAATTGAATTTCTGCACTTGTACTTAATGCGATTCTTGTTATTATGATATTGTGAGCCTATGGAACGGCTCTTGACATAAATTGCTGATATGTATGATGTTGGGTTGTGTTTGAGAAAAATAATGAAGCCTAAAAGGCTGGAAAATTAGGTAAACACAAAGGGCATGCTGCCCGAATTTCTACTAGAGGACTAGAAAACTATATTAGCGACTTGAGTGAAGGTTAAGTACTTGTTACTTGAACTAGCGAGAACCTTGGCCACTATGTTTCTTGAATGTTATACGTTAGGACTTGGTCGAACTTGTATCCTTGAGGAAAAGTCTAATGACCAATGTAAACTTATATTTTCTTATACTTTCAACTCAAGTATTATTTCCAAGCGTCTATATGACAAAACCTTATGATTTGAAAAGCGAGCAAGTATTTCACGAGTGTCTTTCAAATGAATTTCAATTGGTCAATTCTTAATGAACGGAACATTTAAGTTTCGAATCCTACTCGTGTTTCAAAGTTCTCAAACTGAAATTTTCTCGCAGATTTGGACTCCAAACCCGGAGTACCACCTCGACGCGAGAATTAGAAGCACTATTGTGGTGAGTGCTTTCAAATATCCGATTGTACTTGATACCTGTGTTCCTTACATGACTTGTGTGAATACATGAAAATGAATGAAAGGGCAAGGGTGTACTTTACCGCACTTGCTCTAATATGACTTGTTCTTGCTATTGAATATACTTGACTTGCTTTATATGTACTTGAAATATGTCTTGCCTGGAATTCCAGACACCCTGTGGCTAGTTAATCGAGTCGAGCCGGCAAGGGTCTGGTCGATTAGATAACGAACCCTGGGTTACTAGTTAAGTCGAGTGGAGTGTTATCTCCTCGGCAATCCGGTATACTCGAGTATTACCACCCGTGTTACGTGTGGCGTGCGGGCCCGAGAAAGGGGGTTGATCGGTGGACGGGGATTGGCGTGTAGTGAAGTTTTCTTTTGGATTTGTTATTACTTGAAAGTTGACGGAGTGTCAACTACCCATTGATCAAGCTGGAATGGAGCCGAGATATGATTACCGTATCCTTATTTGTGATTGCAAACTTGATATTATTTGATTAGTTGAAATACTATTTCCCTGATTATGACTTGTTTGCTCGCTATTTCACTATTACTGTGTTATTCCTTGCTTGTTGGCCAATTTGATATTTGGAATTTCACTGGGTTTCGGCTCACCTTTTTAGTTTTGTTTTCCTTACAGGAGTACGAGTGAAGCGTGAGAAGTGTAAAGACTAGCGTAGTCTAGTTACTTTAGACTTTGTTTTGAATTTTGGTTTTGTACTCGCGCTATTCCTCGAATGGAACATTTTGTACTTGAATTGTATATATTTTGAACTAGTTTAAGTATATCGAGACTTTGTACCTTGATTTCTATCAATGTAAATTATAAGTTTGAATTGCGGATATTATTAATAGTTCTTGGTGTGTGCACGTGATTATAGTGAGTGAGTCCTGGCGAGAGTTGGGCAGGCGGTCCGCCGAACCCTCTGGTACGCCTTAGGGAGAGGTGGGGTCGTCTCAGTTACTGTAGACGTTTTTTGGATTATTTTTAGAGGTATTTTTAAAACATATTTTTGAGTATTTTATAATTTATAATTTTTATATTTTTATATTCTTAAACATTTATGCATTTATAAATATTTAGAAATAAATATATTTATATATTTATATAAAAATATATAAATGTATTATATTATATATAATACGTAAAATACATATATTTATAAATGTATAAATGTATAATTAATATAAATGTATAAATTATAAATGAATATTATATAAATGTATAAATTATAATTTATAAATGTATATGATGATTATGTATAAATGTATTAATATAATTAATATAAATGTATAAATGTATTAATATTATGTATAAATGTATAATTAATATTGTTTATAATTTATAATTTTATTGTTTAAATATTTATATGCATTTATGCATTTGTAATACATTTATAAATATTTATAAATAAATATATTTATATAAAAATATATAAATGCATTATATTATATATAATACATAATATACATATATTTATAGATGTATAAATGTATAATTAATATAAATGTATATATTATAAATGAATATTATATAAATGTATAAATTATAATTTATAAATATATATGATGATTATGTATAACTGTATTAATATAATTAATATAAATGTATAAATGTATTAATATTATGTATAAATGTATAGTTAATATTGTTTATAATTTATAATTTTTATTGATTAAATATTTATATATATTTATGCATTTATAATACATTTATAAATAAATATTTTTATATAGTTATATAAAAATATATAAATGTATTATATTATATATAATACATAATATAAATATATTTACAAATGTAATAATTGTATATTATTATAAATGAATATTATATAAATATATAAATTAATATATTATAAATATATAATATTATGTATAAATGCATTAATATAATTAATATAAATTTATAAATGTATTAGTATTATGTATAAATGTATAATTAATATTGTGTGTTAATATTATGTATAAATGTATTATGTTATACATAATACATAATATAATTGTATATAAATATATATACATAAATGTGTAATATATATAATATGTATTATATATATTAAATATATAATATATAATATTTATATAAATGTATAATTACATATTTATATTAATATTAATTTATATGGTATATAATATTTATATAAATATATAAAAATATATTTTAAATAAAATAAAATAAAATATTTATAATATGTTTAAATAAATATATAAATATATAATATTATAAAAATATAATATATATAATAAATTTTTGAGGGTGAGGGACTCAAAAATTCAAAAAAATCTTTTGAGGTTACCGGCGGCGCCGGAATAGGTGATCGGCGCCGAGTGAGGTGGTGGAGGCGGTGTCTGGTGTGGTGGGTTGGGTAAGGGAGGAAGCAAAAGTTTTTGAGAAATTTTTTGTGTATAGATTTTTGAAATGTGTAGGTAAAAAATTTTGAAAAGTTTTTTGGGGTTCCTGTAGCAAAAGTTGTTAAAAAACTAGTAGCTAAAAAACTTGGTAAAAAACTAGGGTGCCAAACAGGCCCCAAATTTCTGTGATCCTTTGCTGCCATCAGACAATTTCCTTCAAAGCATGAATTTTTAGATATATTATATCTGTTAAATTATAAATTCATTATTTTTAATATATGTTTAACCTACTATTAAAATAGTGATATAAATAATTTTTAGTAATTCATTAAATAAAATTTGATATTTTATATAAAAAATACCCAAACTGGAAAAAAATAAAAAAAAACCCAAATTAGAAAAAATAAAAAAACCCGGAAGTTCCATGAATTGGGAATACGTGTAAAATGAGAAAGTCGGGCTCGAAGCTAGCCCCTATGTGGGAAAAGGAGCCTCTTAAAAGCTTCCAACAGATTATGCATCTTGTACACATTATCCTAAATGTATTGCAAGATAGAAGTGTAATTAACGAGCATTGCTCTAGGCTCTAACACATCACCAAGAAGATAATGTGTATTGTATGTACATCTTCCAAAATTTAGATTTTGGGCTAAATCAATTTGAAAAAGCATCTAAATATAGGTGTGTAATAATTATGATTATACGTATTAACATACTAAGTTACATATAATTTAAATATATTAATAAGTATTTGTGACCATTAGAAATTTCAAATTTTGACATCTTTCTTATGATCTACAACTTTCTTATTGTCTAACAATGGTAATACGTCACGGTCAAGACTTTTTTTCTTTGTTTTTTTGTGCGTACACATTGTGGACAAGGCTTTTTTGGCCCTTTTGCATGTGTGGCGAGGAAAGATGGTGGGGGCATGATAGTGATAATATTGCAAGACTTTTTCTTTTTCCACTTGAAACTTTATCAAGGGACGATGCTGCTGGTGACCCCAATACAATGCAAATGAACCTCTGCCATCTAAATTTGAAGGGCCCAAGGATCAAAACTGGGTAGAAGACTGAGGCTTGGACCTGCAGACTGCTAAATAGCAGTTTGCTCTTAAAATTTTCCTTTTCATACTTGTGTAATTACAGGTCGCTCTATTATGGAACAAGCATGCTATGCTGTATCAGTAGGCTTAGATTTGTTTTTCTCATAATGAACCTCAGAAGCATAATCATATGTTGCTGCAATTTTCGCGAAAATTTGTTGGCTGACTACGAGTATATGATGCGTATTGAGCAAATCAATCCCAGAAATTCTAATGAAGAAATGATTGAAAACCAGAGATGCATTCAACTGAGGGCCTGATGGCTTTGTAATTTGCAGTGATGACACATTCACAACAAATATCTTTTATCACAACCTGACTTTAAGTTAGTAGTGATTATGTTTTCTCTGTAGACATATATTTTTTTGGGTGGAAAAACACAGAAAATTTGAACAAGCAATTAGAGATGCAATGTATTTATGTAGTGAATTATTGAGCCAATTCTCACCATTCCTTTGCTAATGGAAAGTTTCTTTTTTTGTTCAAAGAGAATTAAGAAAATTGAATTTTGATCACAAGATGATCTTTTACTTGCACACTCACTAGTTACTGCTAACTCTTCTACAACTAGAATTGATTTGATTTTGATGGCATTTATAATGTTTTCTGTGGGAATGGAAAAATGGAGTCTCTATAGAAGTAATTGAAGATGGCTATTATTAAAAAAAAAAAAAAACAGTTTATGTGGGGATTAGTCCAAAATTATAAACTGCATGTCATGAATTCGGAAACTAACCAATAAATGCAAATGTTACAGCAACAACTTATTTGTCTTGGGTATATAGCATTCAGTACCATTGCTTATTGCTACAAACTGTGATAGCAGCAAATTACTTTGATTTAAATTTCAGACAAAAAAAAAGGAAAAGATACAAAAAAGAGTCATGGGTTAAACCTTCAAAGAATTATTTTGTTGGCGAATGGATAGACAAGAATAAAAATAAATATTTTTTTACTAGAAAAGAACATATTGCATTTCTTTGCTTAAGTAGTTCCTTATAAAAGACAATATTTCTTAGAAAAGAAATTGAGCATTCTCTTTTCTAGTAAAAAGGTTGTCTCATTCATATTTCTTTTTCTAGTAAAAATATGTTATGTTTTCTAATGAGATGTACTTTTCATCTATTTTTCATTTAAAATAAAGTCATAAAAGAGTTACATGAAATTTTGAAATGTTAAACAAATCAAGTGATAATAAAGGGGTTTCTTGCTCACTTTAATTTGTAACAAGCATGCTATATGTGACGCCCCGCGGCAGAAGAAAAGGGGAAAAATTTCTGGTGAATAGTGTTTTGTGGAGAATCCGGCCAGAAGCCGTGCAAATTCCTTATATTTTTCTTAAAAATTCTCTTTTCTTTGACAAATATCACTTTATAATGACCCTACTACTCAATCACCCCACAATAAGTGCCAATGAATCTAGAAAGTAGGGTTTCACTTTTGGTTTCAAGATTGGAGCAAAATTAGGGTTTACGCGATTTTCGCCGGATGAATTTTCGGTACGAAGCAAGGATCAAATTTGGTGATTAAAAATGACTTTTAAGTGAGAAATAATATGTGATTAGGAGCAATGATATAAGGTTAGTGAATGGGAAGTAAAAACCCTAGTACCTGTGTTTTTAAGAAAAACAGCGCGAACCGACGGGTACCGCGCATTACCGATTGAACTCACCACTTGACCACCACTTTCTTACCATACAAGCTTATGGATATTTGAGCAAGATATCTTTTCAATTTCCAGCTAGCTTGACCGAAAATTGAGGCTAGAAATGCAAGAAAGAAAGAGAAAAAAATGAAAGGTGGTGGTGGCGACACTAAGGGTTTTTTGACCAAGACATGGTCATCCTTCTTATCCCTAAATTTGGTTCCTTTTCCCTTCATTATTTCTGCCCCATAGCCGAACAAGGAGAGGAGAGAAAGAGAGCAAGAAAACAAATTCCTTCTTCTTGAGTTGAATCATTCAAGTAAGAAATTGAAATTTCAAACCGATTAAAGTGTGGGTTGTGAGTTGGGAAGCTTGTGAAACCAAGAAATTTCTAAAGGAAGTGGAGTATCACTCTTCCAAGCCTTGTTCTTGAGGTATAAAAATCTGATCATGATCCTTGCTTCTTTAAATCTTGGTTTAAGATGTTATTTAGATCATGTTTTAGCTTGATTACAAGATAAGCAAGTTGTTGTGATGATTCTTGGATGAGATATGCAAGCTAGGGTTTG